ACCCAGGGGTATTTCACCTGAAGATTAGGCACCCTAACGCTAGCCTAACCCATTGATATACGGGCGAGCATCACTGGTAAATAAAATACCTGTATATTATATTAGAATTGTCAATTATATGACTAAGAATTATTGAAAGATGAATAAATAGCACTGAAACAGTTATTGGAACAGAAGAATGGTAATTACACCGAACAACACCTTTATTGTAGACGAAATTGAATGTTTAGCAAAAGTCGGTCACACATTCCGAGAGGACATTCAAGTAACTATTGTTTATTTACAGCTTAAGTACGTATCAAAGCTCCTTAATACACCACAGAACAATAACAAAGGAATCACTAAAAAATAAAAAAAATAAAAAATCGTCCTATAGTTGAGGCTGTGTGACACTTAAAGAATATAGTTCAAGTGGGTTTGGTAACTGGTCAGCCAACCAGCCCTGAACGATACATTAATCCACCCATTCCTTCTACCTTGTTACACCACTCTACGGGTTATAAATATCACCCTGTAATTTTAATTTTATATAATCTGATATTAAAGTTTATTTCTATGTTTTTATTACGGTTATGAATTGAAGTTTAAGGCAATACGAGGGTTGGTGATGTATTTAGGAAAGAGACGGTGTGTAGTGGAAGGCGTGACCCCAGCTTGGCGGCACAAACCGTTAGTCTGCCGGGCTGGCTACCTTAATATTTCTTGTTTTTGTTCTAGTCACCTCTTGTTATTATTTGTCGGTGAACGATATACGCTTCTCTTGCTGCTTCTTTTTTTATTTGCTTTCTTTATCCGTCTTCTTTGTGGTGTTGAAATTGATTTTGTTCGGAGAAAGTTAATTTTTTTTAGGCCGGCGGTCGCATAGAGTCCTTGAACACCGGTGAAAGTTTTGGAAAGTTCGGTACAATATATTATATCATCCTATGTCATCTGTAACTCACTAAAGCTAGAAAAAATACCTCAAATCAACGATAAATTACCCGTTGATTATCATTTATCGTTATTGTGTTTAATAAAAAATAATATTGACATCATTTCTATTCAAGTGTTTCGTTACTAGATTAAAATTTTCGATGAATAAAAAATATTCCACAATTATCATAAGGAAATATTGGAAGGTTAGATAAAAGTTTTAGAAGACTGAATAAAAATAATACAAGAATACCGAGCAAAAAAATATTAGACCACTAGATAAAAATAATATTGGAACACTTGAGGACGGCCTCGAAAATGTGTCAGTGGGGTCACCTAACTAGAACTTCATTAGAATGCAAGAGCCGCCTCTCTCTCTCTCCCTCACACTCACTTGACCGTTTCGTAATCCATAACGATAAACAAACATACATATTGACGCACAAAAGAACCCACTGATTCACCATTTAATAACTCCAAAATAACTTGCATAGAGTAATCACAAAAGTCACAAGTCAAAAAAAATACATAATTTCTCCATAATATTGTATACTGTAGCCCCTTATTAAGCTTGGCGCCAAAACTCACTCATCCACGAAAAGGCCTCCACCCCTCACATTCTCCTTAATTAACTATCATTTTCTCTGTCCTAGATAAATAATTACCTCCAAGTGTCTTATGTATATTGTACTACCATGTCACGAGGTTTATGGAACAGAGATAATTACTTTATGAATGACAGGTATTGTAATAAGATGGGTTTGGCCTGGCGGATGTCTCTGTAGGCCATTGGGTTAATACAATTGGTCAAGGGATGATGATGATGATGATGATAATGATAATCTCCTGAATACGATGACTTGATAAACATTCTTCTTATTATTTTCGGCATGAGAGACGTGTGGTGGGGGAGGGAGGGGGGATGGGGGATGGAGAGGGGATGAGGGTAGTGTACCAATCTAATTTTTCGTCCACGATTATATTCACTGTTGTAAGGAGATTTCAGTGATAAGAAATACACCGGAACTGTTATTATCAGAGTTAAGAATATTGTCATTTTTATTTTTCTGTAATTTAATATATTTTCCTTGTTTTAGCGTACAATTTGACTGATGACGTCACTGATCGTATACAATGTCACCAAAACGCATTAAATTAACATCCGAAATACTCACTTGGTTTAGTCCCGTTCCGTTATATAAAATAAACCCATTTTATATCTGAACACTAACTTCCTATACCTACTGCTATAATATAAAGGGCATTGGATTGCTTGAAATTGTTAACGTTATATAATTCACCCGGAAAAACGGAAATTATAGATATTAGTTACCTGTAAATACTATTCTAAACATTGTACCAGTTTTTACATGGAGTGATGTTGCAGATGTAACAGGTCGCCTCAACCAGATTATTATGGCTTAAACATGATTGGTTGAGTCCAGCAGCTCACCAATGACTGGGCACTATTATACTCTACGTCATAAAACAATAAATCCACACAGAGGCTAACAACACGTCATAAACCAAACAACCAACCAAGAAACTGGACATAGACAAATGACTATAAGTGAACTAGATATTCTTCATGACGTCACAACAACTAACCAATCACTGCAAACATTTATAAAACGTCACAAGATCAATGAGCCAATCAGCACTTGGGACGAGGAAAAACAAACCAATGGGAATGCCACCTGAGTATATGTGTGGGGGTTTGTATACCTGTATGCATATGTATGTTTATGTATGCGGGTCAGGTTTATTGAACTCTCTCCCAGGCGTGAACAACTGAACAGGCTGGGTGAAAAAGTGAACAAAAAGCGAGAATTAAATACGTGAACAAGGAATGAACCCCCAACAGCGAGTCGGAACAGCAGGGTGGATGAACGGGCAGAGTAAATAAAATGTTCACAAAGCAGGATTGAACAACGATGATTAACAGGAATGACTCAGACCAGGACGAAGTTTGAACAGAATAACAGGTGAACAAGTTTAAACGGGAAATAGCAGGTGAATATGTAAGTTTAAACGGGAAATAACAGGTGAACAAGCTTAAACAGGAAACAACAGGTGAACAAGTTTAAACAGGAAACAACAGGTGAACAAGCTTAAACAGGAAACAACAGGTGAACAAGCTTAAACAGGAAACAACAGGTGAACAAGCTTAAACAGGAAACAACAGGTGAACAAGCTTAAACAGGAAACAACAGGTGAACAAGCTTAAACAGGAAACAACAGGTGAACAAGCTTAAGCGAGAAATAACAAGCGAACGAGAGAATTGCACGTATAACAGCTTAAAAGAACACGAAAATAACAATACCAAGAATAAACAAATGAACATCAAGACAAAATAACATAGAATAACAAATGAACAACACTACAACTGCACCATAACATAAAAAAAAAGAGTGAACAAGGAAATAATAACAGCTTTGAAGACTGAGCAGCCATGACTATAAGGACAATGCTCTCTACCTCACTGGCTGACGCATAACCAACTCTTCCATTAACGCCTACAACACTGACTTCACACAATGATGGGAAATTACACCCAATTATTATTATTTTTTTATTTATAGCACCTGTAATACTTTTAATATTTTGTCATTTGGTTTTCGTTTACGCTTTGAAAAATGGTATAAAGGAAATATATTGTAACTATATAGGAAAGTGGTATACGCACATGGTCAGTGTATACCGTCTACACTGTCTAGGTATACATAATAAAACTGTATACTCATGGTCCAAGTATATTGTATATCTACACTGTCTAGGTATACATAGGAAAACTGTATACTCCCACTGCATCGTTAATAAACACACTTACCAATTGTAAACCTGTATGACAATTGTACTGATCATTATTATTATAATTATTATTAAATATAAAAACCAAAGCCTTAGGCAATTAGAAAACCTATCCACCCAAACCCTTATAATTACGTTGCAATTAATAAGTAATTCAACATACAGTTTTCTTTGTTCAAATTTCATGAGTTAAATCTAACCGCTTTTAAAATAGAATGACAAATAACTAATTCTCAAATATTATGGAGTTTATTTATGATAAGCATTATACCATACGAGATAATTAATTAGAAAGGACATACTGTAATACACTGATAAATCGTATATATATAAATGAAATATATTATAATTGATATAGGGAACATTACACAGCGCCATTATATAAATTACTTCAACCAGAAAATGTTGGATCAGTACGATAGTTTGGGCTCGGCGGCGGCGGCGTGGTGGGAGGGGGAGGGAGTACGGCGATTGGCGTCTTATATTTCCGTATTTTCCGGAATAAATCCCACTGAATAAATCTTTTGCTGTTTCCCAGTGGACAAAATCCCTCCCCAGGCAGTTTCCTATTGGACAAAATCTCACTGAATAAATCGTTTGCTATTTCCCACTGGAGAAAATCCCACAAGATAATGCCACAATCCCACAACATTTATTACAGGAGAAAATCCCCCAAAATATATAAAGCAAAGAAAATCCCAGAGAGAGAGAGAGAGAGAGAGAGAGAGTTCAACACAAACTATAAAGTGAGCCAGTGTGTGTGTGCGTATCGTAACCCTGTGTATGCACGTATATACTGTATATGTAGGTTTTTGTGTGACTGACCAATAAGGGGTATACATGACTGAACTAGCCTGTGTACAGCTAGTTGCTAGTAAGTGAACAGGGTAACAAAATAATGTAAACTAACAATACTGAACAAAGAAGTGAACACGGTCCTATAGCATGAACTAGACAATAACCCAATGAACACGTAACTTGCAAAAGTTATTAATAGCATTTAAAAACGACATTTGCATTGAGCAAGAAATGAACAAACACCAATTTGAACTAGTAAATAACCTGGTGAACAATGAATTGAACAAAGGAACTAGAAGCTAACCTGAATTATATAGCCAATTGAACTAATAACAAGTCAGGTGTAATAGAAAATAGCAACATTTTCTGGTAAACTAGGACTATTATTAGCTAGCTTCCTTATAAGTAGTAAACTAGAAATGAACTAGCAACCGCCATGATCTAGGAACCATACACTAGGAGAAGTATTAATTCTTACCTTTATCTACTAGTCTCTGGGCCGAGCCAAAACTAAAGATTATTACCAATAGCAAAACTCCCTTTCTCCTCCCCATCTTCTAGTAGCGTCACGTTAACGAAGTTCTAGAGCGCATCTTACGTCCCCAAACTGACGTACTAGGAACTACTAGCCGATCGAGATAAATACATTTCTAGTTATTTGGTAGTAGCACAATCACACACACACGCGCGAACGGATATAGTTCCAGCGTCCTCACCCACCAACGTCTCCAGAGGTACTGACGCGACTTTCTCCTCGTGACCCCCGCGTTTTCTTCACCTGAGTTGCCAAGTGATGTAATAAATTCTGATTAAATATTGAAATAAAACCCAAAAATATCAATAAAATTGATCGTATTTCATGAATTAATTCCAAATTTATTTATTTTATTCTTATGTGAGCTTTATGTGACTTGAGCGATTCTATATTAAAAAAAAATTGCTTAGGTTGCCAGGTGTGGAAATACAAGAAATAGATTGAAATATATATAATAATCTAAAGGAAATTTATTGTCAATCAAATATCAAAATAACACTAGCAATAAGTTATCAAAATGTCCTTATTTTACCCTTATTTTTCCCCCATGTATAAGCTAATGTATAATTTAACCTGTATATGTCCTCAAAATTATTCATTACAGTATTAAAATTACATCCAAATAAGTCATCAGTTTTTTCCATATTTCACCTGATTTAAAACCTTTTTAATTTTAAGCAATTATATAAAAGGTATCAAATAACCAACGACGTCCATTATAACTTCAAAGCACAAAGGAAGCAGACCGTAAAAATTACATCTACTTTCACATTTTTCTAAGGATATATTGTCTTTAATTTCACATACTAATCACACTTTCTTTAATTATGTATTCTAATTATATTTCCTTCAATTATAGACCATAAATATAATCTATATATCACTTTTATACTTGGTGAAAGGCGGATATGAGTGATTATACCATTTCACACTACATTTCTTAAGTATATAAATTTTATATATTACTTTATATATGTATTCCATGTGTAATGAAGACTGTGCATATATGTAGACTACCTTCCTTAGCTTATGTGTTTAAAGACCTTAGTAAACGAGGTATAGTCATAATTTCAAGCCTGTATTTGATATTACTGTTTGATAAGCCTCTCCTTCCCAACCTGAGCTGAATAAAAGCATCTAGCATCACGTGGCGTCCCTGTAGTGAAGGTGTTAAAGGAGATGGCTAACTTACCCTTTATGTTTGGGTTCCCTCCAAGCTGAATAAAATCGTCCAGCTTGAACAAAATTAACTTCAGCGTTTCGTTTTCTGTAAATCTCGCTCTGGTTATGGTCCAGCTAATTCAGTAGTATTTTCCCCCAAGTACCATCAGATGATTAGCTCTCTCAAGCCTATTTCACTTGATGAGAAACAACCTAGTGCTACCAGGGAGGGGTTAGGTTAGCAGTATGGTTAGGTTAGGAGTATGGTTAGGTTAATGGTGGTTAGGTTAGCAGTATGGTTAGGTTAGGAGTATGGTGGTTAGGTTAGGAGTATGGTTAGGTTAATGGTGGTTAGGTTAGCAGTATGGTTAGGTTAGGAGTATGGTGGTTAGGTTAGGAGTATGGTTAGGTTAATGGTGGTTAGGTTAGCAGTATGGTTAGGTTAGGAGTATGGTGGTTAGGTTAGGAGTATGGTTAGGTTAGGAGTATGGTGGTTAGGTTAGCAGGTTAGGCTGGTTAGGTTAGGAGTATGGTTAGGTTTATAGCAGTGGTTGGTTAGCGGTATGGTTAGGTTAGGAGTATGGTGGTTAGGTTAGCGGTATGGTTAGGTTATATGGTGGTTAGGTTAGCAGTGTGGTTAGGTTAGGGTATGGTGGTTAGGTTAGCAGTAGGGTTAGGGTATGGTTAGGTTAATGGTGGTTAGGTTAGCAGTATGGTTAGGTTAGTTAGGAGTATGGTGGTTAGGTTAGCAGTATGGTGGTTAGGGTTAGCTTATATGGTTAGGTTAGAGTATGGTGGTTAGGTTAGCAGTATGGTTAGGTTAAGAGTATGGTGGTTAGGTTAGCAGTATGGTTAGGTTAGGAGTATGGTGGTTAGGTTAGCAGTATGGTTAGGTTAATGGTGGTTAGGTTAAGAGTATGGTGGTTAGGTTAGCAGTATGGTTAGGTTAGGAGTATGGTGGTTAGGTTAGGATTATGGTCGTTATTCTTAAGGTGAAATAAACTATGGGACTAATCATCTGGTGATCTCTTATCTTCACCTGGATAAAAAAAAAGAAAAAAATACAAATTATTTTATTAGATATATGATAACTTTAATACAATAAACCAAATACTAAATCAACACAATAGAAATTAGAATATTCATCTACTGAAATAAAAGTAATAAAAGTAAAAATATAAGCAAGAAGAATGTAAAGTACTGAACTACAATATATATGTCCTATAAAAGTTTAAGTAATTTTCCTTTAATGTTTGTGACAACTACACCAAGATTACCAAGTTGAACACCCAAAATAAAATGACTTTCTATTACAAATATAAATATGCTGTTTAACTGTAATGATTCATCGTCTATATTCTTCATAACTATACTGTACTGTACCAGAAATCATGTGGACTGCCTGAAGATTTGTTACCCCGAGCTTATTTCATCTGATTGAATAGGTAGTGTTAGGGTGTTTAATTAATTATCAGGTGAAATAAGCTGGAGTGGCTAATCTTCAGGTGATCCCTCAACTATATACGTACTGTATTCTTCATAATCTAGTCTTGACACAAGGAATATATTACCCCGAATTAAACATTTCGTCGATAATTTCTTCTGGTGGGTAGATCCTACCCTTTGCAAACTGTGTTGGCATAATTACGTTCCACTCCTCAACAGGTAAGTATTCTTCCACCAGGGCATAGAGACTCACATCTGTGGTGATCAGGCCCTGACGAGACAACAGTTTCCTCATGTCTTTAGTCTTAATTTCGGCTGAGCCTTTTCTGGCCGTCTTTATGTGGTCAAGATCAGAAAACAGATTTTTCCAGTACTTTTCACACGTTTTCATGACCTCGTCCATGCCACGGGTTGAAAGTTTGCATAGTGCATAATGGGTGAAGATTTCTTTGGTCAAGCCCTTTGGTAAGGAGACTGGCAATGGTTTCTGTTTAATTTTTTTGGTCTTCTTGACTACAGTTCTTGGTGCTCTGGCAGCAGGAGGTCTAGTTTTGAGGAGGTCACGTAACTGGGGTCTTGCCTTTGCCTCAGCCACTACTCCAGGTGGTGGCTGCACTGGTTTCTGAGCCAGCTTGTCGATGAACTCCCTCATAGTCAACTGTTTCGTTCTGGCCAATGCTGCGCTGGTACTTGGCTCACCTACTGCAGACAACCTCCTTACTGACTTCTTCTGAGGCTGTGTGACGTGACCTGCCTCTTCACCGCTCGGTTCGCCATTCTCTGTTTGCTCTTCAATATCAACGTGGTAGACTGCTGCTTCTGTCTCGGCCAGAGACGTCCCAACACTGGGTGAATGATAATGTTTTCTCTCAGGAACTGCCAACAAGTTCAGCGTGTAATGATCACTTTCAGAATCACCCTGCATGGCCTCTTCCCTCTCCGACAGTTTCAAATCCTCAACCGACTCTTCAAAATCATCGAGGGAGACTGCTGCTTCTGTCTCGGCTGGGAGAGTTCTATCATCACTTGGGGCTAAGTTCAGCTGGTGATGGCCAGTGTCAGAATCCTTCTGCATTATAGCCTTTTCCTTAGGTGCACTTTCAGCTGATTTCACTTGGTTCCCATCTCTCACATTCTCAGTCAGTATCTCTGCCTGCTGGTCTAAAGTTGGCTCAGAAGCAGCGACTGACATCCCCTCTAATTCCAAGGTTCTCGAAGCTCTCTGCATCGCCTTGATGGCCTCCTCCGGGTGGACCTCAACCTGTTCCCGAGTCAACACTATACTCCTCAAGTTAGAGGTATTCTCCGTGGTCCGTGACGAGGAGGACATTTTATCCCTAGACCATGACGACAATACTGATGTGGTTGAACTCCTTCTTGATGGGGATGGTAAAGCCTTAACTCCTAGGCTCCTCCTTGGACTTTTCTTTAAGGGTGACAGGGACGTCTCCTTTCCTGAACTCTTTCTTGGACTTTTCCTCGAGGGTGATAACGAAACCTCCAAACCAACACTCTTCCTTGAACTTTTCTTCGAGGGTGAAAATGAAGCCTCTCTTACTGAAGTCTTCTTCGAGGGTGACAATAAAGCCTTCATACCAATACTCTTCCTTGGACTTTTCTTAAAAAGTGCCCTTAAAGGCTCTTTACCTGAAGACTTCCTTGGACTTTTCCTCAGGGGTAACAATGAAGCCTGCATACCCACTCTCTTCCTTGCAGGTGAAGAGGAAGCTTCATCATTAGATGACAATGACCCACCACTTCCAGTACTTTCCCCCGGGTCAACAAGTTCCTGAGAGTCTGTGTTTGGTGCAGCAGACTGTGAAGAACGTGTGCTATGACTACCTCCAGTAGTATCAAGAGAGGCCAACTGCAACTTAATCTCGGGACTCTCCTTGCTTTTCTTTTCCGAATCGGTATCGAGAGCAGAGAGGGCAGCCGATATGCTACTCTCAAGATCAACATCTGCCCCATCACTGGAATGGCTCGTCGACACATACAGTTGACTTTCATGGTCGTCTATCTCGATGTCTCTAAAGCTGATTGGGGGAAGTAAAGGAAAGTCAGTTGCCAACGCTGCCGTGTATTTTCCCAAACCGTCGTGAGTGTTTCCGGGTGGTAAAGGTGGTTCTTCCTCAATTATAGACTTTCCTTGAAGCACAAATGATACAGGTAGACTTCCTGAAGGAGATTCAGTCCTACGAATGATCTCTTCTGTCAGTGATGGGCCTTGGTCCTTCAAAACACCTTTGTCTTCAGTCCAACCTTGTCCTTTAACAGTCAGTGTTTGTGTTCCTGTGTTACTTTCTACCTGTGTTCCTGTGTCACTTTCTACCCGTGTTTTTAGTTCGGTTCCTTTCTGTGTTCCTGGGACACTTTCTTCCCAAGGTTCTGTGTCACTGTCTTCCTGTGTTTCTGGGACACTTTCTTCTTGTGTTCCTGGGTCAGTTCCTTTCTGTATTCCTGGGACACTGTCTTCCCACGCTTCTGTGTCACTGTCTTCCGGTGTTTCTGGGACACTTTCTTCCTGTGTTCCTGGGTCAGTTCCTTTCTGTATTCCTGGGTCACTTACTTCCTTTGTTCCTGGGTCACTTACTTCCTTTGTTCCTGGGTCACTTACTTCCTTTGTTCCTGACAAAGACAGGGATATATCAGTAACCATAACTGAACAAGGCTTTAGTCCTCCTATCAATTTGGATAAGTTAAAATTCATTGGTGATACCTTGCGGGCAAATCTCTGTTTGGCGATGTCTTTAATGTTCTCAAAACTCTCCTCAGTTTTGTCGAAATCATATGCTGAGTTTGATTCAGAAGCCGAGTTATTTGCTTCTACATAACTCGCAACATTGGGCAAATTATCTTCTTGTAGTGATGAAGATTTTTGTGGTGACTTTGAGGGAGACATGTCACTATCTTTATGTAGTGATGAAGATTTTCGTGGTGACTTTGAGGGAGACATGTCACTATCTTCTTGTAGTGATGAAGATTTTCGTGGTGACTTTGAGGGAGACATGTCACTATCTTTATGTAGTGATGAAGATTTTCGTGGTGACTTTGAGGGAGACATGTCACTATCTTCTTGTAGTGATGAAGATTTTCGTGGTGACTTTGAGGGAGACATGTCACTATCTTCTTGTAGTGATGAAGATTTTTGTGGTGACTTTGAGGGAGACATGTCACTATCTTTATGTAGTGATGAAGATTTTCGTGGTGACTTTGAGGGAGACATGTCACTATCTTCTTGTAGTGATGAAGATTTTCGTGGTGACTTTGAGGGAGACATGTCACTATCTTTATGTAGTGATGAAGATTTTCGTGGTGACTTTGAGGGAGACATGTCACTATCTTCTTGTAGTGATGAAGATTTTCGTGGTGACTTTGAGGGAGACATGTCACTATCTTTTTGTAGTGATGAAGATTTTCGTGGTGACTTTGAGGGAGACATGTCACTATCTTCTTGTAGTGATGAAGATTTTCGTGGTGACTTTGAGGGAGACATGTCACTATCTTCTTGTAGTGATGAAGATTTTCGTGGTGACTTTGAGGGAGACATGTCACTATCTTTTTGTAGTGATGAAGATTTTCGTGGTGACTTTGAGGGAGACATCTGTAATGACTTGTCACTCCCTCTTGTCTGCATCTGACTCGTATCCTTAGATGGTTTATGGGCAAAAGCTGCTGGATCTACATCTGGAATGGCCATGACTTGAAGCCTCGTTCTTTTACGCATATTTCTGGCTGCCCCTAAATCAATAGAACTGTCTGAGGACAACTCCAGCCAGTTAATGCTGAGATCGGCGTATGTCTTCTCCACCAACTCGCTATCACTTCCTTTTGTCGATGTCTTGGATGCCATTGAAGGTTTCACAAGTTTCTGTTGAAACTCAATGGCTTCCTTCTTGGTTCGATGGCGCAAGTTCCTCGCTTTTCCATAATCAATGCTATCTGATGACGAGTCTATCAAACTTGTGTCTATGGCTGCGTATGTCGTCTCACTCGGTAAAGTGACCTCGGTTTTAGCTCTGCTGGCCGAGTCACCGGCAGCCCGAGAAGACTTCTTTGCCTGTGGATGCTTCTTTCTCGACCTAGTACCTATGGGCGGTTTAATCACCAACTTTGACACTTCAGACTGGGCATCGTATTCCTGAGGACGTTGTTTCCTTTTGCGAAATCTGGTGGCCGCAGTCAGATCAATGCTCTCATTGATGGACGATTCGCTGCTGTTGAATGCGGTAATATTCATGTACGTCAGGTCTGTCCCTTTGATGGTGCTGGCGTTGAGAGATTCATTGCGAGAAGTGGAGAACTGCTGAGACTGTCTCGACTGTGGCTGGAGAGCAACTTTCAGGAGAGAAGCATCTTCACCGCCTGGAAAAAGCATAAAATAAATATGGCTTATGATGTACTGACAATGTTGACACAATTAAACTAAGATAACTGGAAAGTGACACTTAAACTAAAATAACTGGACAGCGACATTTAAACTAAGATAACTGGATAATGACACAAATTTGTTTATCATGTTACTAAAAACGGGCTAATACAAAAAGTGGAAGCTCATGTCATTGGAGGAGATATTCTAAAATGGCTTAGTGCGTGGTTACCGGTCAGGAAACAGTGAGTGAGAATTAATGGCACTAAATCTGATTGGGGTAAGGTGGAGTACCCCAAGGCTCAATACTTAGACCATTACTCTTTATTGTATGCATAAACGACATAGATATACTGTAGGCCTAGACAGCAACATAAGTAAATTTGCTGATGACACTAAAATAGGGTGTGTAATTAAATCTGACGAGGACTCCGTAAAACTACAGGAAGATCTAAACATATTTTTTGAATGGTCTGAAAATTGGCAGATGAAATTTAATGTGGACAAATGTAAAGTACTTAGTCTAGGAGATGTAAACAGAGAAACCAGATATCAAATGAACAAAGGATGATATAGGAGTAATGATAAGTTGAAATCTTAAACCAAGTCAACAATGTGTATTTGCTCAAAACAAGGCTAACAAAGTACTTGAGTTCATACAAAGGAGTGTTAGTTACAAGATTAGCGAAGTTATCCTAAAACTATATCTTGCACTTGTGAGACCTCACTAGGATTACGCAGTTCAGTTCTGGTCACCGTACTACAGAATGGATATAGAATCCTGAGAAAGAATTCAGAGGAGAATGACAAGACTAATCCCAGGCATTAGGAACCTTGAGTATAGAGACAGGTTAAAGCATCTTAATTTGCACTCCCTCGTGAGACGTAGAGTGAGGGGCGATATAATCGAAGTGTATAAATGGAATAGCCCACCCGGGCACAGGTCACCAACTCACATCGGGGTCTAGGGGCAAAAAAAATAAGAATAAAAATAAATTAAAAATAGAAAAGGAAAAGGTTATATTAATCTACACCACGAAGATGCCGGAAAACCAGCTTTTTAAAGTGAGACATTGTATGATTATAGAAACACAGAAGAAGGCAGAGCATTCCACAGTTAAGCTGTGTGAGGAAAGAAGGATGTATTATAATGGGTTATTCTAGTGTGACCGACATCCACAGAGAAATGGTGCGCATTGCGGGCAAGACGAGTGTTACGAGTCCACGGCCTTGCCGGCGGTACACAGGATGCCAAATCAATCGAACATTGCCCATTAAAGTACCTGTAAAAGAGAGAGAGTGAAGCAACATTGCAGCGAAGAGAAAGGGAAGAAAGATTATCAACTAAGGGAGGAGAGTTAATAAGACAAAATGCCTTTGATTCCAATGTATCTAACAGTTGGACAGAAGAAGAGCCACCCCAGATATGAGAGCAGTACTTCAAGTTAGGGCGAATGAATCCCTTATATACTTGGAGCAACTGCTAAGGAGTGAAGTAGCTACGGCATCTGTACAGTATTCCCAACTTTAGGGAGGCTAGGAACGGACTTGTAACAATGGTTTTAAATTAAACAAATTTAGATTTAGGCACGAGATAGGTAAACATTGGTTTGGAAATACAGTAGTGGATGAGTGGAACAAGTTACCAAACATCATCATTAACTCAAATACAATAGGTTGGAAGGATGGATAAATGAGCAATACGGGTTGGGTGTAAACGGGACTGCCCAGTATGGGTCAATAGGCCCGCTGCAGTTTCCTCCATTCTTATGTTAAGATAACTGGATAGTGACACAAATTTAAACATGTTGTATAAATAAGATATATATTCAGCTCCCCGATAATCGATATTTCTAAAAAATGATGACGATAAATTTAACAAACAAGATAAGTGTCAAGTATTAACACGAATGATAACTAAAGGGTAATTAACATAAGACAACACATATACAGTACAGTATTTAACATCAAGATAATTTATATGTTATTATATGGACGCAACACAGGGTTATTTTAACCTTCTGTCCAGTCTTTAACACCGGTGAAAACCTACCAAGGATCACCTGCAGATTAGCCACCCCCAAATCATCTCACCTGATGATTAAACACTGCAACAATTTAACCTAAACCAATCTAAGCTAGCATCACTTAAATCTAACCTAACTTAATCTAGCCTAACCTAATTTAATCTAAGCTAACATCACTTAAATCTAACCTAACATCACTTAATCTGGCTTAACTTAATTTAATCTAACCACTTAAATCTAACCTGAATTAATTACATCTACCCTAACTTAATTACATCTACCCTAACTTTATTACATTTCACCTCACTTAATTACATCTACCCTAACTTAATTACATCTACCCTAACTTAATTACATTTAACCTCACTTAATTACATCTACCCTAACTAGACTCCATAAGCAGCTTTAGGGTGTCTAATCTTCAGGTGCTCCATCGCCAATATAAGACTAAACACAACTGGGAATGACACCAAACGACAATCAATTTTCGAGCCGTGAGATCACCGTGTAAACAAACCTGCACGACGTAACAAGTGCGTACTGTGATTGGTTTCCCCTCCAGGGTGTACAAAAGGTATTACAATACAAGGTGTTACAGTACTAAAATTAAAACATATACTTTAAATTAATATAACTCCTTTTTTGCAATAAACCATTTCAATGCAATTTAAATCAAGTGGGTTTTTTTCTAAAGTATCCATTTATGATTACAATTACTGTATGGGATTATGTGATTTATCCATACTGAGGAAGTAATGTATGTTATCAAACTCTATGTCTGCTCTACTCACGAGACTGCTAGCACGACACACACAAACCTTTAGATCTCTTTGATGAACTCCCTCCTGCTCCTCCTCTCTTCCTTTTAGCAGAGGAGGCAGCTTGTCGACGGAGACGGTGTGGATGTAAGGCTTCTGGGGTCTCCTCTGGTCCTAAATTCGCCATCAACAGACGTAAGAGCATCCGTGGCGTCTTATCGTCCGAGAGCAGAGAATCCTCCATTTTCTGTAATTGTGTGAAATTGTTATTGTGGAACTGCAAAACAAATCTGAAAATTGGCATAAATTAATAAAATAATGCAATGTTTAGTCATCAAATCATCATGTTCCATACCAAAATGTTCTAAAATTAACGATTCTTTGTGTAAATGAAGCCGTTACAGTACTGGGCAGTGTTCCACGTGTAAATAGTGCGTCGTAATGCATCAACATAGATTACTTCAAGACGACACCAGTGGTCCATGTTAGCCGGCCACTTAACAAAGAGACTTTATAGAAGAAAACTTATTATTTTTTAATCTCATGAATAAACCAAGTCGGGTGTGTGTGGGGGGGAAGGGGGGGTGATGAACTGCACCTTTTGTACAATACAGTATCTTGTTTCTTCCCCATATTGTACATACAGGTTTTTACAATATGAACAGGAACATCACACTACCACACTCACTAAGAAACAACCTAACACAAGTTCTGTATACACGATGATTAATTCTTTCATTCAATAATAATATCCCAATAAATAACAAGGATACACAATTTGGGTAATATATTAGTTATGGGATACTGAACTCACAAACAGTTAGTAGTGTTTGTGTTAATACTTCAGTTCGTGTAGAAATGTCATAGGGTAGCGCTGGTCAGTGCGGTCCGACTAATTACCCAAATGTAGCCAAATATAGCCGGAATGAAGTCAAATAATGGTCCTACATGAATAAATCGGACTGCTAATCACTTCTCGACTAGTATTTGGTGTCAGAAAGTCACAAAAAATTGGAAAACTTACTTTAATCTGAGTTAATAGATCGCGTGCATGTACCGACGGAACGAGGAATTACCCAAATGTAGCCGCAATGAAGTCAAATGATGGTCGTACAAGCGTAATTCGGGCTGTGAATCACTTCTCGATTATTATTTGGTATCATAAAGTAAAAAAAAATTGGTAAACTTAATTTAATCTGAGTTGTGTTAGGTTAGGTTAGATTAGGTTAGGTATATGCACTTGATCTATTAACTCAGATTAAATTAAGTTTACCAATTTTTTTTTACTTTATGACACCAAATACGAGTCGAGGTTAGATTAGATTAGGTTAGGTACATGCACTTGATCTATTAACTCAGATTAAATTAAGTTTACCAATTTTTCGTGACTTTGTGACACCAAATACTAGTCGAGAAGTGATTGGCAGTCCGATTTATTCATCTAGGACCATTATTTGACTTCATTCCGGCTATATTTGGGTAATTAGTCGGACCCGGTCAGTGAGTTCAAACACAAACATGAAATCATTAGGTGGACAGGCAGTCTTTATTTACACCTACAGCAAAATCTATGAAAACCAGAGTAGACAAAGATGTAATTAGTAAAATCAAGGAAAAACCCAAAGTAGAAACACAGAAAAACCAAAGTAGAAACAAAGAAAATCCCAAAGTAGAAAAACAGAAAATCCCAAAGTAGAAACAAAGAAAATCCCAAAGTAGAAAAACAGAAAATCCCAAAGTAGAAAAACAGAAAATCCCAAAGTAGAAACACAGAAAATCCCAAAGTAGAAACAAAGAAAATCCCAAAGTAGAAACAAAGAAAATCCCAAAGTAGAAACACAGAAAAACCAAAGTAGAAACAAAGAAAATCCCAAAGTAGAAACAAAGAAAATCCCAAAGAAACACAGAAAAACCAAAGTAGAAACACAGAAAATCCCAAAGTAGAAAAACAGAAAATCCCAAAGTAGAAACACAGAAAAACCAAAGTAGAAACACAGAAAATCCCAAAGTAGAAAAACAGAAAATCCCAAAGTAGAAACAAAGAAAATCCCAAAGTAGAAACACAGAAAATCCCAAAGTAGAAACACAGAAAATCCCAAAGTAGAAACACAGAAAAACCAAAGTAGAAACAAAGAAAATCCCAAAGTAGAAACAAAGAAAATCCCAAAGTAAAAACAAAGAAAATCCCAAAGTAGAAAAACAGAAAATCCCAAAGTAGAAACAAAGAAAATCCCAAAGTAGAAAAACAGAAAAACCAAAGTAGAAAAGATAAAATTCCTCCAACTAAAGTGTTACAGAACCTACCACCATAAGTCTTCTATAGTAGAGATTTTAATTTTTTTTTTCATTTAACGGCATAAAATCACAAGCGCCTTTGTTGACATTCGGCGAGACTGTGAACTTTCCTCAGTACCGGTTATTACCACATTTATGTACATAGTTTACCTTTCATTAAATAAACTTAAAGATCCAACCTAAACTTAAGCCTCACCTGACCATTATATTATTTAGGTTAGGTTAGTTAAATTATGTTAGGTTTGGTAGCTAATGTTAGGTACAGTATCTTAATCTTGGTTAGGTTAGATTAGGTTAAGTAAGTTAAGGTTAGGTTAGGTAGCTTATGTTAGGTATCTTAGTCTAGGTTAGGTTAGATAAGGTTATGTTGGGTTAAGTTAGATAGGTTAATATGACTCTCAAAAGATCAATTATATGCAGTGGATGTTTTGCCCTGACCAGCTAAGTTCCTACTACCGCTATTTTACCGTGAGTGCGCTCTGATTGGCTAATCGTCCATTTCCGGCCAATAACACGAGAACTATATTTGACCGTGACTCTGGCGGCATTTGGCATTTATTTCACCATGAGTCAATCATTGTGTAGCTGTAAACATATTTAACCACATTGCTATTATGCATGGAAACATATCATTATAAAAGAGGAGATATTTACTAGACCCTAACCAAACCAACCAAAAAAAACCTTCCTAACCTTACCTAACCAACCAGAAAAACAGAGAGTACTTAGCCCATCAAAGCCCACTCACGGTAAAATAGCACTGGTTGGAATTAGCCAGTCAAAGCAAATTATCCACTATGTAAATTATATATAAAAAAAAATGTGGCAGTATTTGTTTCTTCGGTGAATGTTCCCTGATTGTCAACAAGGGCGCTCGTTACATTACTTCATTAAACACAATGTTAACGATACCTCTATGAAAATTATTAATCCTCATCATTTAAAAACATTTAGGGTGGTTAGGTTAGCACTAGAGTGGTTAATCTTTAGGTGAAATGAACAAGGGTGGATCCATTTCAGGTGATAAATGATTTGTTACCTAACGCTAACCTAATCAACCAAATGCTAACCTAACCAACCAAATGCTAACCTAACCAACCAAATGCTAACCTAACCAACCAAATGCTAACCTAACCAACCAAATGCTAACCTAACCAACCAAATGCTAACCTAACCTAACCAATCAAATGCTAACCTAACCAACCAAATGCTAACCTAACCAACCAAATGCTAACCTAACCAACCAAATGCTAACCTAACCAACCAAATGCTAACCTAACCAACCAAATGCTAACCTAACCAACCAAATGCTAACCTAACCAACCAAATGCTAACCTAACCACATCCTCCCAAATAGCATTAGGTTGGTTAAATATTAGAGGCGATATATAAATATAGACAAATGAATGAACGGAATGCGACAAGTAAATTGAGACAGACAGACAGATAATAATGGACGGGTGGACAAGAGAGGAAGGAGATTCACCATATTAAACATACCGTCGTCATGATTATGTATTAAATAAATTCAACATACCATTTAACGACCATTAACACTAACTACCAAAGCATTATAAAATACTAATAATAAACTATCTACCATTAATGGGACTATTAATTCCAAAATCCTCGAGAAATTAAGTAAAAAATGGTTCATAATTTGAGCTGTTGAATCACATCAGCTGATCCACCACTTGACGTTATTTAGCTATATTTTAACATGTCTTCATATGATATTTAATTCAATATAATAATTAACATATCTATTATCATTATCTATCAACTGTGGGTCTTACCTCGGCTCAGAACATCAGCTAATGGGCAAAAAAGTCAATTTAATGGAGACGATAAAGGGTAACTGTTAAACCTACGCGCGTCAAGATGGCGACTGACAACTACAACAACAACCTATAAGAGATTTAGTGTATAAATAATTACAAGTTTATGTCTTTAGTTAAGTCTAAGAAAAGTTAAATAAGTTAAAATAATAAATAGATTAAAATAATATTGAAAAGCTAGCTGACGGGATGTTAGAGGGAGAGTTTTGTCTTTAAATGCCATCTCTTTAGTTTCCATTTATTACTTTAAATAATCGTTAATAAGCTATTATCTTTTTCAATAAGTTTTAGATATTTTACTACTTTTATTACATATTTATATCACCAAATAAGTAACTTCAGATCACCTAAGGATTAGTTTATTTCACCTGATGAGAATAAAAACATTAATTAACCCATATAGTAAAATTAATTCAATTATTATATTTTTAGTATTACTATAGTATATATTATAATATTATATATTAATTGACTTTTATTAATACTTTTTAGAAAACGTTTATACAGTATATACCAGATACCTTCAATTTTGATCACAGGAAATATTTTAAACAAATAATAATCATCAGAAAATTTAATAAAAAAATAAATATATTTTTTTTCATATAAATCAGTAGAAACGAATAGATGATAATTAATATATTTTTAAACTAGCTATAAAGTTATCAGTTGTTTGTTTACCTCTGCTGGGTCAGGTGAGGTTCATGTTGTTACACTATTTTCCACTTTTCACAAATATTTATAACTTATTTCAAAATGTTAACAACCTTACCATCATTTACAGACTCAATCATATCGTTAACTATTAAAATATATCCTAAATTCCTTTGATAACTATATACGACGCCCTAAATAGGTTGTTCTGTTCTGCTTGAGGCTAACGAGGTGTTTGAAATGTTAGTAAATAGTTATGTTATTATGATATATTATTCCTTTAAATTAACAATGACTATAGCACCTAATGACATAGTTACCTTGTTCAAATTAAGAAAGTAGTTTAAATATCAGTAAATAAATATAAAAACAAAAAATAGTGCAATACTTGGCTTGTCTTGTACTGTCAGAAGGTGTTATTGTATTTAATATTGTTTAATTTACTTAGACTCTAGTAAAGAAGATTATTTATTACGTCAAGATTAAAACAAATATGACAGAGAGAAAGAGAGAGAGAGAGGGAGAGGTATTTAGTTAACAGGTGAAATAAAATAGGGTAGTTAATGTTCAGGTAATAGTTGTTCTTCACATCAAAATACACATACCTGTACTACCATTGTGTATACCTACCATACTACCATTGTGTATACCTACCATACTACCATTGTGTATACCTACCATACTACCATTGTGTATACCTACCATACTACCATTGTGTATACCTACCATACTACCATTGTGTATACCTACCTTACTACCATTGTGTATACCTACCATACTACCATTGTGTATACCTACCTTACTACCATTGTGTATACCTACCATACTACCATTGTGTACTACCATTGTGTACTACCATTGTGTACTACCTACCTTACTACCATTGTGTATACCTACCATACTACCATTGTGTATACCTTACTACCATTGTGTATACCTACCATACTACCATTGTGTATACCTACCATACTACCATTGTGTATACCTACCATACTACCATTGTGTATACCTACCATACTACCATTGTGTATACCTACCATACTACCATTGTGTATACCTACCATACTACCATTGTGTATACCTACCATACTACCATTGTTCCAGCAGGTCGCCTCACCGCCACCATGGACCACATGCTACCATCCCCAGGGTTCAGCATCCCCAGCATAGGGACGCCGCTGGCTCACACAGGGGAGGAAGAGATGATCCTGCCGTCAGCCCAACAGCAGCAGCAACAGCAGTCAGCACAGCAACAGCAGGCACAGCAGCAGGGACAACAGCAGATAACCACCCAGCAGCAGACGTACAGCAGCGGGTTCACGCCACACAGTCTAATGCAGCCTCACACACCGGTTAGTAAGATGCGTTTACGCTTCATCTACGAACTGTCTAGAATTTATCAAACTACTTAACCCTTTGAGAATGATGTTTTAAACCCTTTGAGAATGATGTTTTAAACCCTTTGAGAATGATGTTTTAAACCCTTTGAGAATGATGTTTTAACCCTTTGAGGATGATGTTTTAACCCTACGAGGACATTGATTTAACCCTTTTCAGATGATGTTTTAACCTAACCTAACCTTTGACACTTTCCATCTTAATTTATCCATCTCATGTACTTTTCAGAGCATGTTGTCGCCGGCGGTGGGTGGAGGCTCCCAGGTCGGTGCTGCCATGTTCGGCTCGGCCACGGGACCTTCCACCCCAGCAGGAGGACCCATGACCCCCATGACTCCCCACTCCAATGACCCGGGCATCGTACCTCAACTGCAGTACGTGTGGCATCTTAAGCTTCCTCGTTGATTAGTTTATCGGGTCATCTGATGGTTTAACCCCTCCTCCCTCTGCCGGCAGGATATTTAACCCAACCTAACTTATCTACCTAAGTTTATTTCACCTGGTAATTCAATGCTCTAATACCGATCTGACCTGAGCTAATCTAACAAAACTTAACCCAACCTAATCTAACCAAACTTAACTTAACCGAATCTAACCAAACTTAACCTAACCTAGCTCCCACTTTTCTGTTGCAGGAATATCGTCTCAACAGTGAACCTAAATTGCAAACTAGACCTGAAAAAAATAGCGCTCCACGCACGTAACGCAGAATATAACCCCAAGCGATTTGCCGCCGTCATCATGAGAATCCGTGAACCCCGAACTACAGCGCTCATCTTCTCCTCGGGGAAAATGGTTTGTACCGGAGCGAAGAGTGAAGACGACTCCAGATTAGCGGCAAGAAAATACGCGCGGATTGTACAGAAGTTGGGCTTCCCTGTGAGTGTAACTTCGTGTGTGAGGTTGGATTTTGTTTTTGTGTGTAATGTTAGACAAACTTCATTGAATTTACACTATGTAGGAAGTTCTATATTGAGTTGTTGTGTTTATATAATGTCTGGCAAACTTCATTGAATCATAGTAAATATAACTTGTGAATTTGTTAACTTTACCACAACTTTTGAGACACCCTGTACTGTATTAAGTGACATACCAATGAATTTTCCTCATGATGTATAACTTTTGACGTTACAGGCGAAATTCCTCGAGTTCAAGATTCAGAACATGGTCGGGAGCTGTGACGTGAAGTTCCCCATCAGATTAGAAGGCCTCGTCCTTACCCACAGTCAATTCAGCAGGTGAAATGAGTCGGGCGGAGATGTGGCGTTAATTTTACATGTTGGGAGGCTTGAGTGTTAAGCCCAGCCCACTTACCTTATTTCACCTAATGCTATCTGGTGGAGCTGGGTTAGGTCAGGTCAGGTTAAGATAGTGTTAGTTTTGGTTAAGTTAGTATTAGATCAGGTTAAGTTAAGTTAGTGTTAGGTCAGATTAAGTTAAGTTAGTGTTAGGTTAAGTTAAGTTAGTGTTAGGTTAAGTTAAGTTAGTGTTAGGTCAGATTAAGTTAGTATTAGGTCAGGTTAAGTTAAGTTAGTGTTAGGTCAGGTTAAGTTAGTGTTTAAGGTGAATTAAGTAAAGTTGCTAAATCTTCATGTGATCCAATAATTAATACATTAACTAAAAAAGAAACTAATGTATAATAAACACTCAGCAACATGAGGTAGGAAACTCGCACAAAATAATTTACGTCTCTTTCTGGTCAACAGTTACGAGCCCGAGTTGTTTCCTGGTCTCATCTATCGTATGGTGAAGCCACGTATTGTCCTCCTCATATTTGTTTCTGGCAAAGTCGTATTAACGGGTAAGTGTCACGCTGCTCTTCTCTCTATCTCTCGTGTGTAAGAACTGATCGCTTACTCTAAGGTCTCAAGTCTAGTGCTTGAAGTTGGTGTAATATTGTTTTGTGTTGTGTGGTGTGTCTGTCTGTCGTGTGTGTGTGTCTGTCTGTCGTGTGTGTGTGTGTGTGTGTCTGTCTGTCGTGTGTGTTTCAAGGTGTGTGTGTGTGTGTGTGTGTGTCATCCCTTTCTCACCTGTCACACACTAACCAAATCTACTGTTACAGGCGCGAAAGTCAGAAGTCAAATCTACGAAGCGTTCGACAACATCTACCCCATACTGAAGAGTTTCAAGAAGCAATGAGTGGTGGTAGATGAAGTGGTGAACAGACTCTTGAATAATAATCAATGACCGTGCCGTTGATTTGTGTTTATTCGCAAGGCAGTGAATGGTGGTCGATGAGCTGCCGTACTCACGACTAATCAATGACTGAGCCATTGACTGGTTTAAATAAGTTGGTACAAAGTGTGAGTTCTACACAAGTCAATCTCTACCGTAAGTGTATTATAAAACAAGTATGTCGCAAAGATTCCAATAATTTTTTCATACACTTTTGCCATTGAGCATAAGTTACGTGGTCCTCTAACCTTTAATAGGGTTCCATCACAGTGTCAGGATATCATAGTTGATGTAATATTCTCTGTGGAACCTTTGTGTGTGTCAAGACATTTATAGTGTGTCATGAGCCTGAAAAATAAGTGTTGTGCCAATTTTGAATCTCTGAATATAAATGTGTAAAAAAAACAAACATCCGCTGTGCTGGAAGATATACTGTACGTGTCTTTGGTACTCCTAAATCTTTGTACACGTTGAAGTTAGTATGGGGTGTGGCAGCTAAGTGAATACAGTACTGTGCTTTTTTTCCTGTCCTGATGGTTGTAAAAGTACCTCTAGTTCACTCAGATGTAAATTCATACCTAACTTTACAGATGGGAGAGTGAAGGTGGTATAGTACAGTGCCTGACAAACGACTCTGTGTACCTAAGCCTGAGAACTGGCTGTTTGGTATACTGTATCAACAGTTAATGGACTGTCAGGATTTTTCAGATTGGTACGACTGAGTTTTATGCCCATAGAAATACCTTACGCCTTTACACACACACATAATGGTTTTCATATTTATACCTAGAGACAAATTTTTCACTCGCTCCAAAAGAATATCAGTACGATTTTGTGTGAAGACAATATGACACAAAGGACGAAGGATTTTGACAACCTTAGAGACAACAGGAAACACGGTGTTCGTTTTGAAATTCGTCGGATCCGTTGGTGAAGAGAATTCCCGGAGCGAATATTACACCAGCGTGGACACCCCTGATAAGAACCAAATAGCAAGCTCTCTCTCTCTCACACACACACATCATCCATGGAAGAGTTAATTATTTTTATCCTAAGAGTAGATTAGTCAACCAATATGAAGAGGAAATGAGATAGTCTTTGTCCAGAGTTGATAAACGCCGTGGAACTCCAGCTGACCGTATCAGTTTGACCCCCATGCTTACTGTGGGTTAGGTTTGGGGAGGTGGTTCGCTCGAGGGTGTGGCCTGTCGTTGAGGTGTATGTAGACAGTGCGTACAGAGTGGGTGAGGAATAACTGGCTCATTTATGACATGTAAAATCCTACCATTCTCATCATACATATTACATGACCTAGATCACGCGCACCTACAGTGATTTACTTGCATAATACACATCATACGCGGGTACTTCTCGCCGACCCTGTACGTATAAGCATGATAGCTCTTCTGTCTCGTATGCCAACACGGTAAGAATCTTCCGGCAGGTATACTCCCCAGGGACGACCACACGAGATCACATTTGTGTCGGGCGAAATTAGAGGTATTCTTGGAAACACCGCTTTGGTATTTATATTTAGTATCTCACACGTTGTTTTTACAGTTACCGATTGGTTGTGTATTGGCCGAGATGAACGACGGGGATGATATTAGTGTACCGTGATGTACCAGTGTGATGTGTTTAAGATGCATTTGACTCTCTCGGGGGGGAAGAGCATGTATGTGATGAATGACGGCACCGATGTATGGATAAATGACAGCCGGATTATTACATTGTCGTTGATTCATACATCTGTGCGGTTATGCATGGTACAAATATGCATATCTCTCAAGTTTCCTCCTATGATGAGAGCTCAAGTCTTGAATGTCACAGGTTAATCCTAATTAAATTTTCTCTTAAAAGATTATGGTGAATTTCATATATGTAACATTAATTATAATCTGTTGTGGTGATGAATCTGTCTGTCACAATTGTAGATTAATTTAATGTGGGTAAGTTTATTTCCTTTTATATACCAACTACTGCAATTTTTATGTTCTCTTTTAAATAATATACTTTTATCATTGACACTATTTACAAAACAATAAAAAATCCCTAATTCTGCTTTTTGTTTATCATTTTAATCCGTGTGTGTGTGGAAAGTCTGTCTGGTTTACATTGTAGTAGATACTGTGTGAGGTTAAGAGGCCATTAAATTCACTACAACCTACTACTGAAACGTATAACTCGAGTATCTCTTCTTTTTAATACCTGCACGTAAATACGAGATCCGCCAAAATGTACCGTAGGTGAAGAGAACGTTAACCCTAGTACTGTAGTGATAGTCTGGGGGGGGGGTTCAGGCATTCCAGCGATGACTCGGGTTATGTATTACTGAAAGGTCTCCACAGGTATCTACATCTGGGACAGTAAAAATGCCAACGTAACAAATCTGAAATGGATCACAGTTTATTATTCATAGCAGAAATATACAGTCTATATCGACGTCTTTATTATCACAAAGCCCTGACACACCGTCTTAATTATAAATATAAAACAAAAGGTCTTTCACTAACACACATACTCCATTTTGGTTTTGTAAGTCTACCCCCAAAAAACTAAAAACTATTTACACGGTTCATCTACAATGTTTCTTACACGTCAAATGCCATCATACACACTTACCATTATATAGAGTTAGAGTGTGTGGCAAGTCTGTACCTAAAGAGAGAGATTTATTCTGAACCATAAGTGAAACTGTTTATTGCCAGGAGAAACTGTTTATTCCCAAGACTAATAAACTTCAGGTGGATGTTGTCATGGTGATGTTCCTCTGCATTCATTAATGATATCCACACAATGAAGTTTGACAGTCAACATTATAACTGAACTTCATATATAATTAAACAGGAATTATAAAGTAATCCACACCAGGTACAAGACTTATCACACTCTCTGTACATTAGTTACAACAAAGTACAATTTATGTCATTCCTACATTTACGGCTTTTGACTCCATGTTCAAAATTCCTGTAATGTAAAATAAAATATTCAATTATGAAAAAAATCCACAATTTCCCCTCCCTGTAAAGGTAATTTAATTCACCTTCAACGTGAAAAAAATATAACCACCAAATATGTAAATAAAACTCACAGTACAAAAATTTAATCCCCCAAAAATATAATTCCCTTCACCTTTACTACTGTACACACACACACACACACACACCCAAAAAAGAGAGGAATAAAGAACCCTGGTAAATTTGTAAATAAAAATCGAGCACGATCCAAAAAATCAAGAAAGAAACGTCAATACAGCAGCTCCCCTAAATTACCCCGCACTTACGAGGTTTATCGGACATATTCACGGCCGTAAATCAGAGGCACACATCCAGTATTCATGACCATACTCAAACATCACACCTGTATACAGTCAATAAAAATGTATGTTATTCTCGTAGTTAATAAAGCTCCTCCCCAACTTACGACCACCCGCACTTGTGACCTGCCTCAGTCGTACCAAAATTTTGTCAAATTACGTACTTTTGAGTCCCAACTTCAGTACACGGACAAAATTTTCGTTTGTAATTCACTTTAAAATGGCTGGCAAACTTAAAGGTGAGAGTTTTGTGGGGCTGAGAAGAAAATGAGACACCCATTTTAGATTTTCTATGTATTATTTTCGCATTTTCGACTTACGACCTGGATTTGGGTCCCTAACCCCGTCGTAAGTCGGGGAGGAGCTGTACTTACAGCCCATGACTGACCTTTCAATATTTCTTAGTATTAACTCATTGTACAGGAACAAATATTCTCAGTTCTAACTTTCATTGAACAGGAAAAAGGGAAGATATGTCAAAATCACCTTCATAATAATTTGAGCCATTGGAGACACAAACCCCAAATGAACATGTGGGAAATTGACCCAGTAATTAGTTTTAAAGCCTGAGGGGAAAGAGGGACATTCTACCGAAGGTGAGGGTGGGTGAGGTCTTCCTCCAGCAGGTGAGAGACACACACACACACACAAGGGCATGATTTACAAGACTGGGAATGACCATCTTTTGAATACATAAAACTGATCACCTGAAGATTAGCACCCCCAGTATATCTCAACTGATGATTCAACACCCATAATCCAACCTGAGGGGGGAGGGGGGGGGTGTTAGATTAGGTTAGATACGGTAAATCTAGGTTAGGTTAGCATTATATTAGGGTGTTTCATTATCAGGTAGAATAGCCGAGGTGCCTAATCTTCATGATAACCGACAAAAAATTAAGTGTATTTTTTTAGTGACAAGACTTTGCTAACCCTACAATCGACAGCACAGCCTCAAGAGAAAAATATTAATATAGCCATCAGTCACTTAATGATAAAACTAATCCTAATGCGGTAAAATACGTTGTACTAAACCATGACTTAAAATAGTGAAGAATTATACGAGGAACACCAAATAATTAAGAGTAATATAAGGCTTTGGTTCCATCTCTTTTTCTTATGGCTAATTATGAATGTATTCCCTAACACACTCACTCTCTTACCACAACACAAATATGTAAATAAATAGAAAAAAATCATTACACGTTAAAATTAGACACTCCTGATTATTTCACCTGATTATTAAACGCCCCAATGCTAATATAACCTAATTTAACCTTCCAATAGTATTACAGTGTTTAATCATCAGGTGAAATAAAAGTAGGAGGGGGATAATCATCATGTGACCCAAACATTCATACACACTGGACTATATTCTCATTTTACAACAGGGTACAGTAGAGTGTTCTAAGATCTTTACCCCATTACCCAACCAATAGATCCTGTACATAAGGGGTTAATACAGTCATCCCTCTTCTTACAATACAGTACCTTGATAATTTATTACAATAGGGGTCTAAGGGAAACAACCAAATTGTAAATTCAGTCTTTACCTGTATAATAAAACCATTGTGTAAACTTTTTAAGCTTTGATAAAACCGCTTAATATCAGTTGTTAGTCAAGTGGTGAGAATTAGTCACAGGGAAAAAAATTTTGAACTTAGACTTTAGCAGACAAGGACAACTGGTGGGAGTCACAGAAGTTTACATAAGAAAGTGATAAATACAGTACAAGTATAATCTCAAATTCCATCTGAGGTGTGGGAAATACCAGGGCAGATTTGTGCAAGTTATACAAGTTGACGTCTGGTGCTGTGCCCTATTTCTCGACCAATGAGCAAAGTGGTTATCAGGAAGTATGGAAGCCATATTATGCAGTTCATAGTACAGTACAATACCCCATTTCTCAACCAGCGAGTGAGAATTATATCCGAAATAACGGGAGCCACAACCTGACAGTGAGTTCCACGAGCGTTGTGTAATGAGAAACACCCCACCTCAAGATTTTCACTCAGTATCCTAACTCACTCGGTCAAAGTGTTTTCCCTCCAACAAGGTGAACACGAAGGCCTCTTTCACATGAGCATTTTCTTTGTGCGACTCAGAAATTAATGAAATTCAATGAACATCCATGTGAAGGTCCCATTGAACTCCAGTGAATCCTAAGTTGCATGACAAAAAAAAAAAAATAAATAAATAAAAAATCATGTGACAGAGACCAAACACCTGGAGTGATACCATCAGCATCATGACCACCTTAAGCTGCATTTACTACATTTCTTAGCTGCATCATTTGGCTTGATGAATACCAGTCCTGGTCGACCGTCAGAGAGAAATTTTATACTGGCCTGTCGTCAAACCAATCCACACTGACACACTTTATGAGTAACTTCAGTGTAGTCTTTGTTACATCTGGGTACATGTACAGGAAGTTCTTTTGTATTATATTACTGTACCACTTAATCTGAGGCTAAGGATTCCCTACTCTGCCCTATTATGCACAAAATTTGAACACAAGGGACATGAATCACTCACTGATAATGGCCACCGTCCATACAGATGACTTCCACTGATGATGGCCGCTGTTTATGGGTTCATTAATTACTACAATCTCTCCAAAAATTAATAAAAATATGACGGGACAAAAATATAAAAATGTCCTGTTTTTGCAAGGCTGAATGGCTCTACAAAATACAAAGATTTTTAACCTAACAGAACAACAAACAAACACCAAAGTATGTAAATAATTAAAAGGTTTTACTTCGTTACACCACAATACAGACTCAACCAAGTTTACACATACATACAAACATAAAAATATTAACCATAAAAGTCACCTGCTCACGGAAATTCTAACAGTCGGGTTCACCAAATGATGCGTCACTCCTTCAGACAACTCTTCTCTGACTGGGTGGCCACAATAGAGGAACAGACAAGTTGCTCTATCACTACACTTCTTTGTTCTCTCTCTTCCCCTTTTTATTCTCTCCCTCTGTTCTCTTCTTAATGTGTGCTTCCTCTTTCCTCTCCCATGATGTGGCTGATCTCTCTCTACCCAACACACCTGCAACACACCTGTAACATACCTGCAACACATCTACATTACCTTGGTCAAAACACATCCTCCCAACCTATTGATAAGTGTCCACAAAGTTTGACCACAACCACGCCTTTAGTTTTTGAGCTGATTGCATGACAGACAGACACACAGACAAGTAAACACACACACACGTTGAGAGTTAAAAATGCTCATGCAAAGGACTCAGAGAACAGACAGACAGGTGATTTCAACGGTGCAATTCTCATAAATGCTCATCACACCTGGAAATGTCAATAATCACAGGTATCATAACTCATACACCAATACCAAGGCTGTAAAAAAAAATGTTAGCTTATACACAATTCATAAATAACTACAGGGTGTCTCAGAAAAACACACACACTGTCATATGGAATTTTCTGGTGATTGTGTGAATGTTTGTACAGTATACAGTACTATATTTCAAAAACAAAATTGTCCTCGCTTTTTTTACTCCCGAGGTGACGACAATAATGCCGTCGTAATGTGAGTATTCCTGTAATCGACACAAAAATCCATATGGTAGTGTAAATTTTTTCTGAGACATGCTGTACAGTATATGTAAACAAGAGTGTACACAGTAGGTAGCACACCAGCTGACCCTCAACACCCATGGAAGCACAACCAAGAATTTAACTACAGCAGTGTTAATAAGGATGCTGCCCACTGCTGTTTATTGCCATAGACCAGCAGGTAAATCCTTGGATAGCTTATAAAGGAAACCCACATAAAAAGATGAAAACCTCTACTAATTCAACAACTGACCCATTAACTAAACCCTGTTAGTTTTAGCAACTCTTAAATGGCAGCTAAGGATTACCAACACTGCCACTCTCCCATAGCAACCAGCAGCCAATCACCTTCTATGACTTATGATGGTTGCTAAGGTTGACAAAAGCCAATTAAAAGTATAAAAATGAACCTCACTCTGAAATACAGATTAAGTAACCGTACTGGAAATAAGCATCTGATGGCCTTATTGCCTGCCTGTTTACCATTGTTTGTATACCTGCACTGTCTATATATTATACATGCTGAACTGTATACATGCCTTGTCTATACAGGTACTGTACTATATATGCTGAACTGTAAACCTGCAGTCTTATATACATGCTGAACTGTATGCCTGCATTATCTAGATCTATGCTCAATTGTATTCCTGCATTGTCTTACATGCTGAAATGTATTCCTGCAGTTTATATACAAACTGAACTGTAATATAATGTATCTGCATTGTCTATACATATACATGCTGAACTGTAAACCTGCATTGTCTATATACAAACTGAACCAACTGCAAGCTTGTATGATAATTTTACTGATAATCTACTTAGCTATCTCTCTTGTGATATAAATTTCCATCTTTTAATGTAAGTTTTCTTTACAAACTTGATGTTAACATAGAATTAAAATCCCTCTAAGTATCTTAAGGTCGAGTCAGTAGGTAGTATTAAACAGCTTTACTGAGAACAAATGTTACTTTTCCTCTGAGGCACATAGAGCTCACCTGAAGAGTCACCACCCCTAGCTTAACCAGCCTCAGATTTAACCATCCTGAAAGTGTCTGGAGACGAGGCAGGAGAGATAGTCCTCAGGTGACCCATAAAGATTAAAATTATTTACCTTTAACTTATTTACCCAAGGGCCACCCACTAGAGGCCGCTATGCCAAGGAAATATGGTCAGTGGCCTGTGTAGGATCCTTCCATTGTTCTTGATAGTCTCGTCTAATGTATTTTGTAGTCCAATACTGTTTTTGATTCCACAGCTTGTGTTGGCAGACTGTGTGAAGAAGTATTTCCTTATATTTGTTCTATGTGTTAACTTGGCCAGCTTGTAGTTATGTCGTGTTGGTGGTGCAGGACATCTCAATGACATGTCCCGGGTTCATGTTTTCATCACTTCCAGGATTATGAATGTTTCAGTGAGATCTGCCCCATTGTGTCTTGTCTGAAGGGTTGTTAGTCCTAAGGCCTTCAGTCTACTTGGATGATCAGTAATATAGTTCAGGAATCATCTTAGTCGCTCTGTGTTGAACCTTTACCAGGGATGTTAAGTCTTTCTGGAGGTAAGGTTTCCATGCCTGTATACAGTAATCCAGACTGATAGGCACTTGAGATTTGTGCAGTTGAAGGAGCATTTTCTTATCTCTCTATTCAAAGGTATGCTTTACAATTGCCATATTTAATTTTCTTTTCTCACTTGTTGTACCGCCTTCAGTCAATGATCTATCACTCTGTCAAGGTCTTTTTCCTTAGGGACAGGTCTTCGTCTCATTTAAATTACTGTCATCATTGCCTCGTGACTCAATTATTGTATCTCTAGATCAGGGCTCAAACCTTAAGACTGACAGAGCACCATTTACAGGGTAACCGCTCCACCACCACATACTGTACTCATAATTCATCACCAATATGTGGAATCTTATACTACAGTTCAGCCCAACAACATCTACAGTCCCACGTGGGCTAGACGGTGTGAGCCCCAATGAGGGAATACAGTACAGTACTTCATTTACATACATCAACAGAGGCAGACAATGTGTATCTGTATAGATCAGTTTGTGTTGAACAAACTTGGGTTAAACAATATTTAATTGGTCTAAAAATAAATAATTAAGATTCTTATTCACTTGGTAATAAATATAATGATCCTCTGTGGCTTTCACAATGGAAGAATTTACTTAATGTTCTTATCCAGAGAAAATATGATTCATCATTTTTCAGGGTGTCTCCCCCAAAAAATTAAAAGAACAAAATATACTGTACATACTGCCTAACACATTTTTATAACAATCACATAGATGCTTGTCCACTACACTACAGTATTATAATAGCAACATTGTCCTCACTTGTCGATGTGTGGCTCTTGCTGTAATACGAGCATTTACATGATAGCCACAAAAACCTGTTAGGTAGTGTGTAAAGTATACCTATTAGTAAAACCTTTAGTCTATTCATTGTTATTATTATATTCTTCAAGCCTAATGCATGCGAGATACTCCGGGCAAGATCAAGACAGTAGACAAACCAGCGTAAGTTGTGTTTATTATACCATTAAACATCCTCAAACTTTAACTGCATTTCGCTCACTTGTCTACTTCTCTCCCGGAGCTCCTCATATATTTACTCAATGATAATTTGCAAAGTGTCCACAGAAATGCTTTATAACAACACGTGAAAATGAAGATAAACTTCTTTAATCCTGTAGCCCCTACCTGTAACGTAGGTTCTTTCCTCTACGTCAAGTTGCACTACATCCACAAAAAGGCATCAGAGACAACGTTCCACTGCCAGGGATAACACTCAAGTAGGTTTATAAGTGTGACCCCTTTGGAATTTTATACTGTACGCACACCAGCATTCACACGTCACCCGGGACAAGCGTTACAATACGTCCGCCCACAGGGACACACACTAGACAACGTATGATCGGTGGTCTCAATCAAGTTTTATCATATAACAATGTAACCCCAAACACCTTCAACACCACAGCCAGAAACATTACTAAACACGACGCTTCATCGGACTGTAGTTTTCGTGGCCTTGGATACTGTAAGAAACCTTATGACTTATACCAATCACCACTTAACATTGTACTTGAGTCTCAGCACTTGAAAAAATAGGTCTACTGTACAGGAGACCCTCATGGTAACGTTAAGCTTCCATTCCATCTAGGTATTTCCCTAACTCAATTCCATTAAAAATAAAAAAGGCTAACAAGAATTTTCCTTCAGAATCAGTTCAACTCATGACACCTGAACTTTGGATATACTTTTGACAATAACTGCATCTGTTTGAGCACTAACAAAATAACTTTCATATTCACTTAAATATACAAGATTCTGACAAAATGTAAAGTATTTGTATAATAATTTCCATCAGTGATTAGTCAACTCAGCACCAATATAACTGGTGCTGGAGTTTGTTCTTTAACCAATATAATCAGCAACTAAGGACTTCCCCCTACTCCCTCCCTATGAGTATAAAATATAATAAAACTCCCACTGTTGATGGCTGCCGTCCCTACAGCTAACTCCCACTGTTGATGGCTGCCGTCCCTACAGCTAACTCCCACTGTTGATGGCCAAGGTTTAAGAGTTAAACGGCCAGCAAAGGAAAACACAAAAAAACAGCCTGAAGCAAAAAAACTAATGACAATTTGGTTTTGATGCCATCACCAAAAAATACCCCAAGAAAAACAAATCCTGTAACTAATGAACCTCCTTTGGCCATCATACCGCGACCACCTGGTAATTATCCTCGGCCAATAGAACAGAGTTAATTATTGTAACCGTAAAATCAACTCTCACATTTAACGGAGAAAAAGAGAGAAGTATAGCCTATTAACTATAAGACTCCCAAACAAATGTACATCAGCATTTTCATAAGAGTGATTTTTATTCCTCCTACATTAATTATGTCCTTGATTGACCCAACACCTGTTTGTGCCTCATCATTATCAACATCATCCCTCCCCACTCTATCCATCCATTCTCCTCACCGGCCCTAAAATATCCTATGAAGTCCTTACATAACGCCCCAAATATCATGAATCAACACATAACTTGCTTACATTCCTTTACAAACTCCAAGATGTGTCCATTATGTGTTGAACAAAACCATTAATGTTTCTTCCAATGTGAACTAATTGCCTGAAGTCACCGGCATAAAGCTTAACCACCAGTAACTACCACTAGAACTACCTACAACAGCAGTGACCCCGGTGGTAATAAACTTCAATTGTCTTTCAGGAGTTGTAGTTGGTTAAAATGACTTATTAATGACCATTGTTTGTGCACCTATTGGCTAAATAATTCTGGAACCAAAGCTTAAAGTTACCAGGAAGGTTAATCTTTTCACCTTATCTTACCTAACCTAAGGCATCACATGGAGAACAATGGGCTAAATTTTTTTGGAAGTGAAGCTTAAATATACCAAGAAGGTCACCCATTTCACTACTACAGTTTACTGGTCCCAACTATCCAGTATTTGTAACCTGGAACAGCTCATCCCACGTAAGGTTTAACCACCAAAGATGTGAACCTCCGACACACCCGACTACATCCGCCCCCAATGGTCACCCAGACCTGGAGGTGTAGCTTCTATTTTGTCACCGACGCTCGATTTTGGACGACCTCAATCCTACACAAGTCACACCATATCTTATGCATTAATATAACTCTGTTCTTCACTATCTTCATCATCGCGTACATCACCATCAACATATTCCTCATCGTAATCTTCCTCGTCTACTTTATCAATCACTCCTTTATGTGTCTCCCGCTGCTGGTAGTCAGTAGTTGTGCTTACAACCTCGGAATCTGCTGTTACCTGCAACACACAGCAGAAATAATAATGACAATATTTATTCAGTAAAATTGTCATACAGGTTTACTATTGGATGAGGATGTATATAAACTATGCAGGGTATTGTAAACAGTTTAGCATGAATATAGACAATGTAGGTATGTGTTGTATGTAGGCTGTGGTGTAGACAATGTAGGTATACAACAATAGTAAACAGTAAAGCAACAATTTGACCAAGGAAAGTCCACAAAATTGCCAGGAGAGAGAGAGAGAGAGAGAGAGCATCAAGTACCAATAAATCACAGTACCAGTGATGGGAGGTAATCATGGTACCAGTAATATGAATATAGTCTTTTTAACCTGATTTCTTCTAGCCTAAGGAGACAACTGTGCCACTGATCATAAAATTTTACCATAGTGATCAAATTGGTGTAACGTATTTAAATAATGATCAAATTGGTGTAACGTATTTAAATAATGATCAAATTGGTGTAACGTATTTAAATAATGATCAAATTGGTGTTATTTAACAGTGATCAAATTGATGTAACGTATTTAAATAGTGATCAAATTGGCATAACATATTTAAACAGTGATCAAATTGGTGTTATTTAATAGTGATACAATTAATGTTTTTATTACAATGATAAAATTAACATCGCTTTAAAGATCACATGACAGTTATAAATGAGTCTACATCATATAAGAATCTCAGGACTTGCCTCATCAACACCAGTCGACAGGGTAAAGAGTCCCAGCTCGTCAGCGTGTTGGAGGAGAGGACACACGATGGACGTCTCAACACCCAGCGTATACTCACATGTTTGAGGCTCCAGGAGGTATAGGGTGACGGAACTTGGACTGAAAAAAAAACAAATGTCAGCTTGTAATACGTTGATGTCAGCTGGAACTTGGAGTGAATATGTCAGCTGTTTGAGGATAATGGTTTAACCCTTTGAGGATAATGGTTTAACCCTTTGAGGATAATGGTTTAGCCCTTTGAGGATAATGGTTTAACCCTTTGAGGATAATGGCTTAACCCCTCAAGGATACTGGTTTAATCCTCTCAACCTCAGAGCATTAAGCCACACTCGATAAAAAAAGAAAAACATTCCTAACACACGATAAACAGCATCAGTCAAGTCAGGAGAGGAAGACAGTGTATCGTCTACCCCTCTAGTCTTACACACATCACACACCTGTTTGATTCCTTACACCTCAGTTTGACCTCAACTTGCCGAGGATTGCCCGTCAGGTCGCACATGCTACCTCCAGAGTACAGGTGTGACACGTGCCTCTTGCCCAGCTTGTACCCCTTATCTGGATTCTGAACGACGAGAAAAATAATACACAGATAATTAGAGATGTTTCACTTCTACTGTACTCAGCCGCCATAATAATATATACGATTATTTTAAATTACTGTCTGTCTGTCTGCTGTTAAAGTTTAAGTATTAGATATGAACAAAAAAAAGCTTGCCTGAAGATTAGACACCTCAGCTTATTTTACCTGAGGAATAAACACCCTAGTGCTAAGGTAACCTAAACTAAGCTAATCTAAACTAACCTAACCTTAACTAATCTAACCTAACTTAACCTAACCTTAACTAATCTAACCTAACCTAACCTACCCTATCCCAACCTCCCCAGATAGCATTAAGGTTTGGTTACATTAAGTGTGGTTAGGTTAGGTTAAAGTACGTGCCGTGAAAATAAATATACAGCACATATCTTCGTAGGCGGTGAAATATTATGAAAAAGAGATCTTACATAATCATCATCATCATCGTCCAACCCTTTATTAGCAGCTAAGGACTACCTACTCTGCTCTTCACACAAAATTGGAACACAGGGAACATAATACATCCACTGATAATGGCCACAATTTAAGGGTTAAGTGCTGGCCATCATCAGCTGAAAATGGTTGCAGGGACAGCAGCCATTATCTATGAAAGTTTCAAATCACCTGTGTTTCATTTTACCACATATGGGGGGAATGGGGGAGAATGGGGGGAAGGGGAGAATGGGGGGAAGGGGAGAATGGGGTAAAGTGGGAATCAGGAATCCCTAGTTACCACCCACCAATTAAGGGATAAACACACCCAAAAGAAAGAAATTATTCACAAGTCTCTCCTGACCTTTGCCAACCACTTCCTGTGTTCCTCCACATTAAACTCTCCCAGGAGGACGATGGTCTTGGATCCATCCCGGTCCTCATGGTACTGCTCCACCTTCCGGCCGTAACAGAACTCGTACTTCCACCATCCCGATCCCTAGTGGGTGATGAGACACGACAGAATATTAACTCCTGGTGTCATATTTTATCCAAATTTCTTTCCAACCTGATCATAACAAACCGGGTGTCTCAGAAGAATGTATACACAATATTATGTAAATTTTTGTAGAGATTGTGTGAATGTTTATATTACAGAAGCTAAATTGTCCTCACTTGTAGGAGACTTCACACATCAGGAAGTAAGGTTGCTGTTATAGTACATACACTGACATGATCTCAAAGAAAAAATATAAAAGCTGTGTATAAAATTGTAATAAATAAAGATTATATAGACAAAACACCACAGCAACATACTGTACCAGGGAGTGAATCACCCCACACTAAACTTACACCGTGTAAACAATATGCTCCGCTAAGGAAGTCCTCCACAAGTTTCTGGTCGATGGCCGGTTGAGGGGGAAAGAGCGACAACTTAGGCTGAGGTTCTGGGGTGAAAGAGGTTAAGGTCGGACTCTCTTCGTCCTCCACGACTGCAAGTTTGACGGAGCCACTTGATGTATCTCCGGTGAGCTGGAAAGGAAGACTACAGTTGACTCTGAGTTTTTGTTGTTCCCTCAGTCCTTCTGTGTGAACATTTCCCTCATTCTACACAAATATTCCCACCAACTTGTTCTCTATTATATTCCCACCAACTTGTTCTCCATCATATTCCCACCAACTTGTTCTCTATTATATTCCCACCAACTTGTTCTCTATTATATTCCCACCAACTTGTTCTCCATCATATTCCCACCAACTTGTTCTCTATTATATTCCCACCAACTTGTTCTCCATCATATTCCCACCAACTTGTTCTCCATCATATTCCCACCAACTTGTTCTCTATTATATTCCCACCAACTTGTTCTCCATCATATTCCCACCAACTTGTTCTCTATTATATTCCCACCAACTTGTTCTCTATTATATTCCCACCAACTTGTTCTCCATCATATTCCCACCAACTTGTTCTCTATTATATTCCCACCAACTTGTTCTCCATCATATTCCCACCAACTTGTTCTCCATCATATTCCAATCTATTTCCTTCCATTTAATCAAGATGGAAGGACAGATGAGAGTGACAAACTGGTAAAGAAAAAGACTCATACAAACTCTAGCCACACTATATCACTCTCACACACACTACCACATAACACACCACACTACCACACAACACACCACACTAACACGCCACACTAACACACCACTCTACCACACAACACACCACACTAACACGCCACACTAACACACCACTCTACCACATAACACACCACACTAACAGACTCACAGATTTGGGGGATATTTCATATTTTATCTCTTCCTCTCCCTTCTTTTCCCCATTGACAGATTAAGGTAAACAGGAACCTACAGAAAGCAAGGAAATGGCAAGGGAGAGTAAACAAGAAACGGGAAAAAACCGAAACAATTAGAAATATTACTTATACACACGTCCTTATATCGGCAACTTAACATACGAGGTAAATAGAGTTAATTTTTACCATAACCCACATAGTAATTACCATTCACTTTCTACGACACTTACCACTGCCCCATTGGACCGCAGTTTAAGGCTCTCGGCTTCGATCTGGAGAAGGCTACGAGGTCTCTTCGGGCTGCCGTTCATAGGGACACAGTGAAGGCTCGTCTGTGGCAGGTCGTGAGGTCTGGGGGTAATGAAAGGTGTAATTTTTAAATAATAACTTGGATAATATTACAATTTTATACGATTTACCAGGGAGGATCTTAAGGCAGTTATATCACAGGTTGAAAATTGGCATAGTGCTCGATTTACAACACACACACACACGCACACACACACACACAAACATACAACATACACACACATACAGACACATACGAAGATCTGAACGACAGTCTTGTGCCAACTCAAGACCTGATATGACCACTTAAAAAAACATCGTTCCATACATAAGATCATCACACTCCACCAGCCGTGACAAATTCCACCCTACTGTGCAAGACCCACCTCCTACAATAACCTCTACCTCACCCTAACCTCCTCTACCTCACCCTAGACCTTATGATAAAACAAATGCAATTATCAACACATTAATCCCTTGTGTACGGGGTTACCTCCGAGCTGAATAAAATCATCCGACGTTAACGAAATAAAATATTCAAAGCATCGTCCCTGTAGTGAAGGAGTTAGTGGAAACAACCTACTACTAATCCCTTGTGTACCAATTTGCCTCTGGGCTGAAAAAAAATCATCTGATGTCGGCCAAATAAAATATCTAAAGAGTCGTTCCCATAAACTCAATCCACCCGTCAATTGAACCAAGAGAACCACCGACCTGTACGACGGATGCTGACACAGGATCGGCGACAGGACTATTATCTCGTACTCGCAGGTGTACGTTTCCTTGATGCTGTAGATGTCGTGTCGTCCCTCCTCGTAGCACACAAACAGGATGTGGCTGACGCGAGGCCTTCCGGTGAGGTCGCACACCGTCCCCCCCGTGTAGTTCAGCTTGAAATAAGGCATGTTGACTCCTTCTATCTTAGTGGTGGGAATAATAGCATGGGGGTGTTCCTTTAACTGTTGTTCTAACTTCCTGACTGTCAAAAACAAAAATACAAATTAAATAAATAGAGCAATAGACTTTGGTATTTTATTTACCAGGTGAAAAATGAACAATGTTTCACTGCTGAGGAAAAATGAACAATGTTTTACTGCTGGGGAAAAATGAACAATTATTTATTGCTGGGGAAAAATGAACAAAGTTATATTCACCAAGTCAAAATGAACAACAAAAACAATATACCCAACCTACTCAAATCTGGCAGATAGTCTAAGGAGAACAGGCCTAAGGTGTACTCTTGTACCCGTGCTGTCTTGCCCTCCCGCTCCTCTCTGTACTGTTTGATGTGGGCGCCGTGACACAGCTCGTATGTCCAGTACGACTCAAGCTGTGAGTATGAGGAGAAACATTATTCCAACAGCTTAAGTCTATCATGTAGAGAGAGAGAGAGACTCCATTAAGCAATCACTCAACTGTTTATTTGGAGACAGAGTAAATAATTTTTTTCTACCATATCTCCTGGTCCTCCTACCCTCTACCATTATCTCCCCATCCCTAACTACACAAACTATCTCATTCTCCCTAATCAACGAGTCCTCAGTCGTACATTGAAGGTGATTTAATACAAGGGAACACCCGACTTACCCTCAAAACACATGACTCCTTCCTCAACAGCGGCAGCAGGAGTGTCAAGGCATTGGGTCCCCTGTACATTTCTCCGTCGTCCTGAAGTGGGAAAAATACTCGCGTAAGATAATTACCTCGTGATTATATCCACTGTATAACCTCCGAAGGAAACTCAGCCTAGGGTCTTGACTTTACACCGTCCACCATGCTCTAGCCTAAGAAGGAAACTCAGCCTAGGGTCTTGACTTTACACCATCCACTACGCTCTAGCCTCCGAAAAATAAACTCAGCCTAGGGTCTTGACGTGACAGTGGAGCTCAAAATTAACAACCCCAATATGAGATGCATCGGTTTGACTATTATTTATACGGTGAGAGCGATCGTATTTACCGACAACCCAGAGACAGTGTTAGTGCAGTTGTGGGCTTTCATGTGATATGGTGATTGGCCCTTAGGTCAGGTTAGGTTAGGTTAGGTTAGGTTAGGGTAGGTTAGATTAACAAATAATAGCAATACTCACATTCTTATCACCATAATTGATAGGCACAAGACACTGGTACTGTTCATTATTGGAGCTCGTCATCACCAGCTTCTCATAGTCCGGTGACTCCTGAAATGAACACAAAACATCACTGTGTAATCCTTCCCAGCCATAACACAGGATAATACGGGTCATAACAAATTAAAAATGGAACAAACGCCCTTATGGCTAATAACCTAATAAATGGCGAAATGAGAAATAAAATAAAATAATAATAAATAAAATAATGGCTAGAAAACAGTGCAGGAATTTTAAGTTCGGTTAAGTTAAGTTAGGTTAGACAAGGACCTCTGTAGGTTAGGTTAGGTTAGGTTAGACAAGGACCTCTGTAAGTTAGGTTAGGTTAGGTTAGACAAGGACCTCTGTAGGTTAGGGTAGGTTAGGTTAGACAAGGACCTCTTAAATATACTACAGTATTACATGTTAATCAAGAACTTAAGGTCATTTTTCGTATCTCTTCAAGAATCTCCACCCATGCTTATTTCACCTAAAAATTAAACACCCTAATGCTAACCTAACCTAATCTATCCTAAACTATCCTTACCTAACCTAAACTATCCTTAAACACCATAACAGCATTGGGGTGGTCAATCTTCAGGTGAAATAAGCTGGGGTGGATATTCTTCAGGTTAAGTTAAAAGGAATTGTAACTTTCAATCCTCCCATGTTTAAGGTTATTAGTTGACGTACTCACCAATGAAAAAGTAATCCTTAGTAACACCTAAACTAACCTACTCAACCTAACCTAACCAAACCTATTCAACCTAACCTAACCTAACCTACTCAACCTAACCTAACCTACTCAAACTAATCTAAACTAACATAAACTAGCCTAGGAGAGGTATGTTATGGTTGGTTTATCTTATATCTGGAAAGTGTTTGAAAGTGCTCCCGAGGATAAAATTAAATAAACCTGAATTCAAAGTTAATATATCGTCATAGAGCATTAGTGTGTGTTAGGGGTGGAAAAATAGCAAAACTAATATTAAGCAAATTGTAAATCCTCGTCACATAAAGGGATTACCACGAAGTATGACAACATTTACCTTGCCTTTTTATAATATAGTCGAGGATATATTACAAAAAAAAAACCCTAACAGCTACAATACCCTGAGAAGTTACTAATACCCAATAAAATCAGCCTCCCCCACCCCCCCTCCCCCAAGTAGTCACTCACCAATAAACCGTCACTCTCTGCTCCTGGCCAGTTCACTCGGAATAATATAGCATCATCTAGACCTTTTATCTGGTTAGCTGTTAATATTAGAGGTGAATATAGCAGGAGGAGGAAAGAATAGAGGAGTAAGAGGTGTGTGGTGGTGTCCATGGCGAGGGGCAGCAGCTGATGTTTGTTTACCTTCTCACTTGTTGACACGACAGCGTGACGTCACCAGGGGGCGGGGCTTCGTCACACCCGCCAAATTTAAACTTAAGATTAACGAGATTAATTTAGAGGATTAATTCACAAATATTAATCCAATAACAGATTTGAAGGATTAATTTAGTCGCTTAAATACTCGAACACAAAGCCTACCTAAATGATGATACAGGAGATAAAAGAGAGATGAAATAATAGACCAATCGTAGTAGGTAGTAGGCAGCTACCAAGAGAGGTACCACCACCTGGGAAGATGTTGGAGGCATAATGGTAGACTCTGCTGCCATATGACACTACAAGAATTGTGACCAAGCCCCAGGTTGCTGATCTATCTTTCTGCCTCATTTACACAAAATTGCAGGGTCTTAATTGTCTCTCTTACTATTGACAACACAACAAATATAACCGTACTCATTTATTCTCCTATGTCAGTTGATATTAATATTGAAGCGGTGCCTTCTGGGATGGGTCCCACTGGTAGGGAAGGTTGTGGACCCCAGGGCAGGTTGCAGCATCTCTGAATGGGTATATACAAACTTGGTTAAATTCAATAGTAATAAAACTCAGTATTTACCAATTACACTTTCTAAATTAGATGATCTCCCACCAATTACATTTCAGGACTCCACCATTCTGCCAAATTCTGAAATAAATATGTTAGGCCTCACCATTTTCTCCAAAATGCTCTGGAAATCACACATCCTTAATATAGCTAAAGCTGCCTCCCGAAGGTTGGGAATGCTGTACAGATCCCGTAGCTACTTCACTCCTGAGAAGTTGCTCCAAGTTTTTAAGGGATACATTCGTCTTAACTTGGATCACTGCTCTCATATCTTGGGTGGCTCTTCTGTCCAACTGTTAGAATACGAGAATAACCCGTTATAGTACCTTCTTTCCTCACACAGCCAAACTGTGGAATGCTCTGCCTTCTTCTGTGTTTCCATACTCATACAATCTGTCTCACTTTAAAAGATGGTTCTCCGGCCTCTTCGTGGTGTAGATTAACACAGTACGGTATAATCTTTTCTTCTCTATTCTTAATTTATTTCTGTTCGTATTTTTTGGCCCACTAGGCCCCGTTGTGGGTCGTTTGGCCGGTGGGCTAATTCCCGTAAAAAAAGAAAAAAAAGAATGAGAAATAAGAAGAAATAATACGATATTACACATTACACACGAGGTTGTTAACTAGTTACTAACAAAACATGCAATTTAGCTCCACCAGACAGACAGATAGATAAAAATCTCAAAACTCGAAGTTAATAGATATACAGTAGACATATAGATATAGATAGACAGACATATACTGTAGACAGATAGATAGATAACTGGATTCAGTAAAAAAAAATCTGAATTTTTTTGCTTAAAGTAATTAGTTATTAGAACGTTGGAGGGCGCAATTAACTAAAAAAAATATAATCAATAACACACATCTTAAAATAAACAGTTACGTTAGTATAGTAATTAATTTATTTTTTTCGTTTATAATAAAAAATAATATCCATTTATGTTGCGTAGATCTACAAACAAACTCCTTACTGTTTTTTACTTCAATGCGAGATACGTATCTTAACATACTTCAAATATATATAATACCCTGGATTTTTTTAACATTAAAATCAATTCATATATTAAAATAAATTATTTATTTATGTCTACAGTGGCTATTTTGAGTTAGATAATAATTAAATTTAAATAAGATGAATGTGTCAAAGGTTACTCCATCTTGGGAACTGTAGTGGTTATGGCGTCCCCTGTAAACTGGAATTCGCGGGAAAATCTCACCTAGGCACCAGTTCCCGACCAAGGTAACCCTCTCTACCACTTATATCAATGTGGTGTATTGATTTACTGGTGTGATGATAATTTGTGGTTGTTAAAAAGTGTAAGGAAAGGTAGTTAGAGTGGTATTTGTCTGATTAATAACCATTATAGAGGAGAGGGTCTTTGGCGCTTGGGAGACTCTGGTTTGCTCTACTTTCAATTTATCATTACAGTCATTAATTATCAGCTTAGTGTTCTCTTAGCCACTGTCTTGTCGGTCGATCACGTCTCTGGTACACACAGTTATCAAGTAATGGTCATTTACTGGCTTCAGAATGTGACCAAGACCTCACCCATAACTTAAGACCATAATGAGGAAACTGGACCATACTGGGCTCTTTGTTGGTAGATGAATCCAGTTGAGGGCCAATTGACACACATCACTCAAGTTAAGAAGAAAAGTGCTATTGTTACAGGTCAATCATTTTCCCTAAAACTAGCCAAGCCATCGAGGTCATTTATTTTAAGCCATCGAGGTCATTTATTTTAAGCCATAATGTCTTGATGCAAGTAATACCTTTGAGAAAGAATTACTGTACAGGTATACATGTAAATCCTGTAGTTACTTTCTGTGTATTTACCGGAGATGTGAATACAGTACAGTACAGTCAGTCCCTGCATTAAAAACGGGATCCCAATACTCTCGATTTAACGGAATCCGCTGTAACAAACTCGATTTAGCGGACGGTGTTATTTCTGTTATTTTTAGTTTGAGTTGGTGAAATAGTTCGCTATATCGAGATTAATAACGTTAATACGCTCACACCTACAGAGACGCCTCAGACACACAATATGTACGTAGAAACATTATTCATGGCTTACGTAGGTTCGGTGTTTGTTTTAAATTTGTTTCTATTATTTCCAAACTTTTTTTCCCCATTGATAGCTGCACTCTTCACTTTTTCCCCCACAGCACTTCCTTTCTGAGACTTCCGAGAGACTCTTGGCACTTCACGTGCAATTTGGTGAAGTAGTTCGCTAAATTGAGCGAAAATAACGAAAAGTTCGATTAATCGGAAAGGGTGTCTCGAATTAGTTAATTAAATCGAGAAAATATTGTAAATTCATCCCCCAAATGAGAAACAAATTCCATTTTTTACAGTACTTTATATTGTTTAACATCACTTTATTTACAGTATGTACATTATTGGTTGTATATGGTATATTATTGTACTTTACGGGCAGGGTTGTGCTCTAACCTAACCTAACCCAACCCTAACTTATGGAATTAATGCTTCTGACTTACAAACAGGGTCCAGGAAAAACCCATTCATAACTGAGGGACTGCCTGTACAGTACAGTACAGTTCCTCCCCGACTTACGACCACCTACACTTACGACCTGCCTCAGTTGTACCAAAATTTTGTCAAATTACGTGTTTTCGAGTCCCAACTTCAGTACAGACAAACTTTTCGTTTGTAATTCACTTTAAAATGGCTGGCCAACTTAAAGGTGAGAGTTTTGTGGTGCTGAGAAGAATAAGAGACACCCATAATAGATTTTTTTACGTATTATTTAAGCACTTACGACCATTTTGACTTACGACCTGGATTTGGGTCCCTAACCCTGTCGTAAGTCGGGGAGGAGCTGTACATGTAATCCTCTCCTGAGTACTGTAATACTGTATAGTGTAATTATTGGTTTTAGATTAGCCATCCCAGCTTCATGATAATTAAAGTTTTTAGTACCAGAGTTCAGTCAACTATTTACATGTTATGATCTTATGTGTTGTCTGGTGATTATAATTCAAAACAGACCAAAATAGTGATGGAATTTACCTATGAAAACTGTTCGGGAAAGAAGTGTAAAATGGTGAAATGCAAGAATTTGATTTGACTTTTTTTTTTAATTCATTTACAGAGACAAGTTAAATAAATGCAAGAAAACTATACAGTAATCCCTTAACGTTATCATTTGGTAGCATTTGTTATTTTTGCTTTATTTAGACACCAGTGTAGAAGTTGAATAAATTAAGGGTCGATAAAAATGTACCATTCGAACGTTATCATCGAGAATGTTATTTATTTTGCTTTATTTTCAGATACTTGTGAAGAAGGTAAATAAACCCAAGAGGACGACTATAATAGCTTTCGCTTCGGTGGAGAATGTGAACAAGATCAACACAGACTGGAAGAAGAATAATTACACTGAGATTAGTCAAGTTACTGAAGACTGTGTAGATATGAAAGCTAAATTATCGGCCAAGAAGGAGCAGGACTCTCCGGCGGTAAGCAGTGATGGGGAGATGACACTGCAGGAAGAGACCAAGGGTGGGAAAAGGGCGAGGAAGGGCCCGGGTAATGTACCTAAGAAGCGGGTCACTGCTAGCACAAAAGACATTGAAAATATCCTCAACAATGAACCAGACGAAGAAAATAGTGAAGAAGAGGAAGCCGGGGATGAAGCACTTATAGAGACTTCCGATTCCAAAAAGAAAAACGGTGATTGTGAAGACTTGGAAGAAAATAAGGAAGAAGAGCCCCAGGGGAAGAAAAAACGAGGTAAGCAGGAAGACGGTAGTGAGTCTGACCTCGCAACCCCAGTCAAGAAAGGAAGGATTAGAGTAACCACTGAGATGGCAACGCAGGAGCAAGACGAAGACAACGAACCGCCCACGAGAGGAAGACAACGTGGGAAAGGCAGCAAGAAGGCCATTAGTGTGGATGACTCTAAGGAGAAGAAGAGACCGAGAGATGCACACAGTCCCGACGAGTCCGACAGTAAGCCAGCAACGAAAAAGAAAACAATTCTCCGTGGAAATAAGAAGGACGACGACTCATTATCAGGAGAGGGCGACACTGAAGTCTTATCCGATGAGGAGGAAGATGATGAAGTAGTAGAGGTAATAGACATTGATAATGATGGTAATAATGATGATGAGCTGGACAAAGGGAAAGTAACGCCACAAGGAACCCCAAAGAAAGAAGAGGATGTAGACATAAAGGATAAGAACGATGAGGAAGAGGAAGAAAAATCACAAGAAAACCCAGAGACTGAAGAGATGAAGAACGATGGTGGTGAAGAGGAAGAAGAGAATAAAATATCACAAGAAAGTTCAAAGAAGGAAGAGGGAGATATTATAGTAAAAAGTGATGACGACAAAGAGGATGATAAAGAAGGGAGCGACTCGGACAGCTCGTTGAAAGCCAAACCTTCGCCGGCTGTAAAGAAACGTGGAAGGCCAAAGAACATAACAGAGGTGAAGAAAGAAGACTCTGATGATGAAGGGAATGACTCTGGCAGTTCTGGAAAAGACAAACCTGTGTCGAATATTAAAAAAAGGGGAAGACCGAAGAAAGTTGTCGAGGTTAACGAAGACAGTGATGATGAAGAGGACACAAAATCACGTAGTAGTCCAAGGAAGAAGAAAGGGGGAAAGAAAGATAGTGATGATGATGATGAAGAGGACACAAAATCACGTGGTAGTCCAAGGAAGAAGAAAGGGGGAAAGAAAGATAGTGATGATGATGATGATGAAGAGGACACAAAATCCGTAGTAGTCCAAGGAAGAAGAAAGGGGGAAAGAAAGATAGTGATGATGATGATGAAGAGGACACAAAATCACGTAGTAGTCCAAGGAAGAAGAAAGGGGAAAGAAAGATAGTGATGATGATGATGAAGAGGACACAAAATCACGTAGTAGTCCAAGGAAGAAGAAAGGGGGAAAGAAAGATAGTGATGATGATGATGAAGAGGACACAAAATCAAGAAGACAAGGGGGAAAGAAAGATAGTGATGATGATGATGAAGAGGACACAAAATCACGTAGTAGTACAAGGAAGAAGAAAGGGGGAAAGAAAGATAGTGATGATGATGAAGAGGACACAAAATCACGTAGTAGTACAAGGAAGAAGAAAGGGGGAAAGAAAGATAGTGATGATGATGAGGAGGAAGACAATGAACCGCTCACGAGAGGAAGACAACGTGGGAAAGGCAGCAAGAAGGCCATTAGTGTGGATGACTCTAAGGAGAAGAAGAGACCGAGAGATGCACACAGTCCCGACGAGTCCGACAGTAAGCCAGCAACGAAAAAGAAAACAATTCTCCGTGGAAGTAAGAAGGACGACGACTCATTATCAGGAGAGGGCGACACTGAAGTCTTATCCGATGAGGAGGAGGATGATGAAGCAGTAGAGGTAATAGACTTTGATAATGATGGTAATAATGATGATGAAGAAGGGAAAGTAAAGCCACAAGGAACCCCAAAGAAGGAAGAGGATGATAAAGAAGGGAGTGACTCGGACAGCTCGTTGAAAGCCAAACCTTCGCCGGCTGTAAAAACACGTGGAAGGCCAAAGAAGACAACAGAGGTGAAGAAAGGAGACAGTGATGAGGAAGAAGAAGAGGAAGGGAAAATAAAAAAAAGTGGAAGGCCAAAGAAGATAACAGATAACTCTGGCAGTTCTGGAGAAGACAAACCTGTGTCGAATATTAAAAAAAGGGGAAGACCGAAGAAAGTTGTAGAGGTTAAGGAAGACAGTGATGATGAAGAGGACACAAAATCACGTAGTAGTCCAAGGAAGAAGAAAGGGGGAAAGAAAGATAGTGATGATGATGATGAAGAGGACACAAAATCACGTAGTAGTCCAAGGAAGAAGAAAGGGGGAAAGAAAGATAGTGATGATGATGATGAAGAGGACACAAAATCACGTGGTAGTCCAAGGAAGAAGAAAGGGGGAAAGAAAGATAGTGATGATGATGATGAAGAGGACACAAAATCACGTAGTAGTCCAAGGAAGAAGAAAGGGGCCAAGGAAGACAATGATGATGAATCTGGGAACTCGAGTGACTCAGACGCTAAACCTCTAATGCCTAAAAAGTCACCAGGAAGTCCGAAGAAGGTGACTGACTCAAGTGACTCAGACGCTAAACCTCTAATGCCTAAAAAGTCACCAGGAAGACCGAAGAAGGTGAAGAAAGACAGCTCTGGTGACTCCAGTGACTCAGACGCTAAACCTCTAATGCCTAAAAAGTCACGAGGAAGACCGAAGAAGGTGAAGAAAGACAGCTCTGGTGACTCAAGTGACTCACACGCTAAACCTCTAATGCCTAAAAAGTCACGAGGAAGACCGAAGAAGGTGAAGAAAGACAGCTCTGGTGACTCAAGTGACTCACACGCTAAACCTCTAATGCCTAAAAAGTCACGAGGAAGACCAAAGAAGGTGAAGAAAGACAGCTCTGGTGACTTAAGTGACTCAGACGCTAAACCTCTAATGCCTAAAAAGTCACCAGGAAGACCGAAGAAGGTGAAGAAAGACAGCTCTGGTGACTTAAGTGACTCAGACGCTAAACCTCTACCTAAGAGGTCACCAGGAAGACCGAAGAAAAAGAAAGATGTTAAAGAAGACAGTGAAGAGGACACAAAATCACAAAGAAGTCAAAGGAAAAAGAAAGGAGCCAAGGAAGATAGTGATGAGGAGGAGGAGGAGGAGGAGGAGGAGGAGGAGGAGGAGGAAGATGAAGATGAAGATGAATCTGGCAACTCAAGTGATTCGAACGCTAAACCTCAGCCTAAAAAGTCACAAGGAAGACCGAAGAAAAAGGTGACCAAAGACAGTGACTCAGACAGTTCTGGCAACTCAAGTGACTCGGGTGCTAAACCTCTGCCTAAAAAGTCACGAGGAAGACCGAAGGAAGAGGTGACCAAAGACAGTGACTCAGACAGTTCTGGCAACTCAAGTGACTCGGGTGCTAAACCTCTGCCTAAAAAGTCACGAGGAAGACCGAAGGAAGAGGTGACCAAAGACAGTGACTCAGACAGTTCTGGCAACTCAAGTGACTCGGATGCTAAACCTCTGCCTAAAAAGTCAAAAGGAAGATCGAAGAAAAAGGTGAGATTTTCCTTACCAAGCACAGGGGTGGGTGGGGTGTGTCTTATGTTATTTTATATTTTGTCTTTCTGTTAACAAATTTTTTCAAATACAACTTATTCACTTTCTTTCAAGGATGAACTGGCAAGCTACAAGAAGTACATCAACCTGATAGGCGTCAGGATCAATAGCTACAATGCCTTACTGAGTGGCTGTAAGAGTGTTCGTAGTAAGAAGTTGAAATTACTCCAGTTTATGGAGGAACATGGCTTAAAAGGTGAGTGTACGAGGAGGTGGGTACAGTATGTGGTATAATAATTCTGTGTTGTAGTTTGAGTGTACATTGTGGGTGGGTGAGGGTGCCTCTGGTTTAGGTTAGGTAGCAATAAGGAGTTTTTTAAGAGGGGTGAGAGAGAGGAAAGGGGAACAGGGAGGATCAAGAAACAGGTGAAAACAACATAGAATACGATCTATTAAGTTGTAGAAAATGTGTCTATTTGTTTATATTTTTTAATACAACATCCTTGAATTTATTGTTTATATTTTAATACATCGCCATCCAAATTATTTCAGGTCGCCCAACTGTGGAGAAATGCAAGAGATTGAAGGCAAGAATTGACAGGAAGAAAGAATTGGATGAACTTGACATGGATAACATCATACAGACAACCAGTAAGTTTCACCTTCAAAACACTTGATTTGTGTGTGTGTTACCAATGAGTTACAGTATTGAATTATTGACTGATGCTTTGTATATATATATATATATATATATATATATATATATATATATATATATATATTTTCCTAATTCAGTAGGTGGGAAATATTTCATTGTTCATCGTCACCAGAAATTAAGTACCATTTATTTACACGTCATGACATAACTTTTGATTCTTTCCTTTTTAGCCCATGGGCGACGCTCTGCCTCTTCTCGCTTTCGCTTGTCTCCAGTAAAGACACAGAGATTCCAGTCCCCGATTAAGCCCTCAAAAGCAAAACCCATCTCGGAATCAGAGCTGGACTCAGATTCAGACTCCAATGAAAAATCTGATAACAGTTCCAAGTCCGATTCAGAGTGAACAGAATACAGTACCTTGGATGTTTGGCACCTGACAACTGTATTAACTAGGTGATTTAGTGCCACTGTGGACAGGTAAGAAGTGCCACTCCAGTGTGACTATGAAACTAAACTAATACTTACGTACTTTAATGTAAGGTCGGTGGTTTGTGACCTTCACAACAGAGTTCATGTGTGGAGTGCTAGCCACTGCTTGCTCTTCAAGACCTGTACAAAAATGATCAGGACATTTATTTTATTTACTTTATGAAAAAAAAATCACAAGTATTTTGTTACATATAGGTATCGTTGTTAGAGTAATTATCTTCACGTATTAACATACTGTACTTTATTTTGGTTTTACTAATTTTGATGTTTAAACATATTGGTTTATTTAGTTTTATGTCAAGTGTTCCCAGTTAATGTAAGGTCAGATACAATTATAGATGCAATACAAATTTCCTGTCATATACTGTAGTCACTCATTCATTCTTGCTACTGTGCAAGATGTGTTCTACAGTGATCTTCTCCCTCCAAGGTCCCAGAAACGGTGTACTGTACTGTTATCCCCCTTCATTTTACATCTGTCGCTCATCAGCTGCTTCATTCTCAAAATGACTTTATTCATAAAATGTATAACAGTGGCTTTTGAAACTCATCTGCTTCTAAATTGAGAAAATCACTGGCCATCTGCTAATGATGAAATCTGACAGCAACCAGCCTAGATCTGGCCGGCCACCGCAGGCCAGCCCAGACTTGGCCGGCCACCGTAAGCCATTGTAATCAACCCGGCCATCCCAAACCAGCCCAGACCTGGCCAAAGAAGTACAATTTATAACGATGTAATTGTTATGGACATGATAGAATTAATAAGGAAACACAACCTTTTTTTCACATCTTATCAATTCCCTTTTTATCAGAACCTATATATATATGTATTAAAAGGATATTGAGAATAAAGAGTAATATCAAATATATTTATTGATTACAAACCTCCTTAAGTGTAAAAAAAAAATCCTAACACACAGCTAGACGACGTACAACCCTGAAGTCACCGATTAAAGATTTGTAAAGAAAGGAAAGTGACAATTTAAAGTGGTAATGAAGAGAGAATTACTGCAATATGAAGTGATGTGAATATTATGATTGACTGAGAGAGTGGAGTGTGAGCCGAGTGTATATATACAGCTAATCCCCGACTTATGACGGGGTTAGGGACCCAAATCCAGGTCGTAAGTCGAAAATGCTTAAATAATACAAAAAAATCTAAAATGGGTGTCTCTTCTCAGCACCACAAAACTCTCACTTTTAAGCTTGCCAGCCATTTTAAAGTGAAATACAAACGAAAATTTTGTCAGTACACAGTGCAATCACTAACACTGGGACTAAAAAATACGTAATTTGACAAAATTTTGGTACGGACGTAGGTCGATTATGTCGTGGAGAAGTTGTGTGCATATATAAGTTAATGTGTGTGTGTGACAACAAGGTTAGGGTGTAAAATAAGTTCCAATAATCAGACTTGAGAATTCACAGGACACAAATGCAGTTAAAAATCACAAATCTGGGTTCTTAATCAACTTTAAAAAATTTTAGGAAAAGTTAAATGAAATTATTTACACAAGGACTTTTGGCAGCTGTGAGAGGCCGAGCGTGATTGTAAAAATACACCATGATGCTGACGAAGACTAACAGCATAGACGGGTATGAAAATAGATCTGGGTATTGAAGAAGATGTACAATAAAGCAATGCTGATATAAGGGACATCTTGAGTGTGTAAAGTAAAAAAAAAAAAAAAGCGACGGAAACTTAAGTAAAGACGAGGGAATGTAGATAATGAGAACTGATCAAAACAGCTCTACCCATATACACACTTTGTGATAAAAGGACCAATCAAAAATGTCAGCAATTCCATATTAAAAAAAAGAGTAAACTCACTTTAAAACACATAAGGTAATTCTTTCAATCCACTAAAACATCTACAGTTTCTATGGGTAGTTGTGGCCAACCTTTTGTAGCAACTGAGAAAAAACATAAGCTAAAAAAAAGTACGGTATCCATTTCCTGCTAGCAACATCCTCCGCCGATGCTCAAACCTTATTTTGAATTCCTTGCTAAAACATGAGAAAATAAATCCTGTCTAGATATAAAGCACATTTACAGTATATCCTGCTCATTGACTAGAGTGAAACCACAAATACAGGGTGTGATCCAATAGTTCCCATACTGGCTTTATAAAACCTTTCTCCTAGCAGATATCGAATTCAAATCATCAGCAGTTACTCACCTTGGGTATAAATTGTTTACTGGAATCTGTTTCACCAACCGGCCATACTGCAGCTTTGTGCGAGTGTGTGTACTGGCCCATCTGCTAATTTGAGTAAGTCGCCACCCAATCCTCAACATGGAGGGAAGTATCGAGCAATGCTGTGCCATCAGTTTTTGCTTCAGACTCAGAAGAATTGGCGCAGAAACCCATAAAATGATCAAGGAAGCCTACAAAGATGAAGCAATGTCCAGGGCTCAAGTTTTCAAGGGGCACAAGCACTTCAAAGAAGGGTTCACCTCCTTTGAAAATGAGCTTTGTTTTGGGCAGCCTTCCACTGAGAGAAGTGATGAAAATGTCCAGAAAATTACCAACTTGTCCATGAAGAGCGTAAGGGGACCACCCGTGAGATCGCCGAGCGGTTGGACCTTTCATATGGAAATGTTAACCAGATTTTGACTGACGACCGGCAATTGGCTCCTTCACCGGGACAATGCACCTGCGCACACTGTGAATGATTTTCTGGTGAAGCACGGCATCCCAGTAGTCCCCCACCCTCCATACTCTCCAGATCGGGCCCCCTGTGACTTCTGGCTGTTTCCCAAGTTCAAGTTGAACCTCAAGGACAAGAAGATCATGGACAGAATGGAGATCCAGGACACATCACAGAAGGTGTTCTCCAGCCTCACCAACAAGGACTTCCAGAAGTGGGAGGAGGGGATTCAGTGCTGCATCGAGGCCTCTGAAGAATATTTTAAGGGTGACTAAAGTTTCACTCTAATATCTTGAAAAATAAAGATTTTATGAAGCCAGTCTGGGAACTCTTGGATCACACCCAGTACAGTATAAATCCATCTGGCTGAGTTGCAATAAACCACAATGTTCCAAATTACTGTGCACAAAATCTACCTTATGTAGTATCAGTTTGGGATAATATTGTACTGAGGCAGAAAACCTTTGAGAAATTGGATCATGGACTTCAATATGTGAGACCCAAACGACGAACGCTCAGCCAGTACATTACCATCAAGGTCCCACGTCCCACCTCCTCTACAAAGTCCCATCTACAACACAAGCTGGGACATATACCTCTCTCCTCTCCCTCTTTTCCTCCACAGTCATCTACAACAAAGCTGGGATGACTACTCCTCCCTCCCTCTCTCTCCTCTACTCGTCCCACCTACAACACGAGCTGAGATGATTACACCTCTACAAAGTCCAAACCTACAATAAAAGCTGGGATGACTAACTCTCTCTCTCTCTCTCCTTTGAAGTCCCACCTCCAACCCATTCCTTCTCTCCTTCCTTCTTCTACGATCAATCAATACTCATCTTTACCCTCAAACATTTCCCTCCTTAATTTTCTGCCATTCTCTCCAAGTTGTGGTAACTGCTGCCACGGGTATTAATCGACCACTACCGTCACCCAACATCAGATAGCAGTGAATATTATGCAGTTCAGGGTCATGCCTTTAGTATTCCTGGGCTTAAGCACCTATTGGTACTGGAAGATGTTGACTACACAGACTCATATTCTGACAATGCTGGACTATTTTTATAAGTGACAATGATATGAGTGTGATAAAGAATAATATAATTTATATCTTATATATAAAAAAAAGAGATACATCGACTACGTATTCCTGTTATTACAAAAGTAAATCTTATATCTTCACTGACTTTTGTTTAAGCTTTACTTATTCCTATATTCAAATAAATACTTCACATTCCTTTGGTGTCAAGAGAACTCACCAGAAATTAAAGCCAAATTTTTGTCTCAAGAGTAAGAGAGTAAACTAAACTAAACTTATTAAACATAAGACGTATTTTAAGATAAAAAAATCATCTCTATTTCCTTTCTTGAAATGTTTATCTCCACTGATCCAGCCAACAGCAGAAAACGAGGAGAGTAAATGTATCAGAGAGAACTTTAATGAATTTTAGAAAAGCAAATTGGCACAAGAGTTGAAATAAAATCTGACCAAGAAATAAAAGGATCACCTGATGATTAGCACCTCTAGCATATTTCACCTGATGATTAAAAACCTTAATCATAAATGGGGGTTAAATTGGATTAGATTAGATTGGGTTAGGTTTAAGGTAGGATAGATTAGGTTTAGGTTTGGTTTGGTTAGGATAGCATTATGGCGGTATTTAATCACCAGGTAAAATAAACTGGGGTGCCTAAACTTCAGGTGATCTAAATAAGGTAAAGGCAGAGAGGTTAATACCTAAGTAGCACCAAATATTTAGGCTAAATGCTGCGTCAACCCTACAGTGTTATTCTCTGCCGGCGTGACTCTGTATCCCCGCTGGACTGGGCGGTGTGGGGGCGGACGTTGCTTCAGCCGGCACCACGAGCTTGTGGTTGGTGGTGATGAGGAAGTTGGCACTCAGCAGCAGGGGATATTTCACCTCTGGGTCGAGCAGCATCACACGAATCTGGCGACCAAGAGACTCATTAACCTGGGCTCATGGTAACCATTTTTTGACGACTATTCTAAAGGGAGATCTTATGAAGCTTAGATAACCTAGCTAATTACATCTGGTGATTAAACACTCTTATACTACCTGGGGGTTAGGTTAAAGAGGCCATATGAGGTTAGGTTAGCAATAGGGTGTTTAATCATGAGTGAAATAAGCTGGGTTTCCTATTCTTCATGAAATCTGGATTTACAAATAGTAAAAATATTCACCAATAAACTGAGAACATTTATAACTGAAAAGATAATGTAGTCAAAACTAAGACCATTTGTAAATTTAGTCTTTCAGGATCACTCAAAGTTGCCCCCCTCCCCCCCCTCAGCTTGACCAGCCTGAAGTTTAACCACACTTAAATTATCTGGAGGGGCTAATCTTCTGGTGGTCCACAAAGAATAGAATCATTAAAGGTCTTTGTCATCTCAGTCTCTATTACATCACTGAACATTATTAGAACTACTGTACTGTATCTTCATGACCTTATTTACCTCTTCGTTTTTCGCCAAGGACGCTGACTGTAGTCCCGTTGTTTTGGTGTAAACGATCTGTCTCTGCTTGTCGTCCAGGGAGGCCACCGTTATTCTGTAGTGAAAGACAAAGATGATCAACTGTGATTGATCTCATTTCTTATCATTATTGAATCTTTAAATTTAACTGAGCCATCAGGGGAAATTTAGATAGATAGATACTGATAATTATCCAGTGAAATTGACATATAAGTTTATGGTACACTGATTCAGCATGTATACTGACAATGCAGGTATACCGTACAGCATATACGGTATAGACACAATGCAGGTATGCAAACAATGTACCTAGACAGTGCAGGTATATAAAACAATGGTAAACAATAAGACAATTCAACCAAGACTAGGTTGGGGGAGGGTACATTAGGTCGGGTTTAAGTTAGGTTTCGTTTAGTTAGGGATTAATCTTCAGGTGATCCGACTTGATTTCCCTCACCTGTACATGATGTTGCGTGTGGCAGGTTGAGCGATGCTGGCGATGTTTTCCGATCTGTGATTACGCTTCAGCCTGAGTGACGCTCCGTCGTGGGTCATCACCAGGTCCAGGCCGAAGTTGTAGCCGGTCCACCTCCAGATATGCTGCCCGGAGTGAGACAGGACCCTTCCACATCGCGTACATGACTTGTCGAATTCTCCATCAGATATTTCGGCCGGTCTGTTGTGGATATATTAACCTTTGAACCTCTTTTATCATAGGAAATAAATGTCAATAAGCCACATACTGTACTATATGTCTCTCACACACAAACTGTCATTGGACTGGCAGACCCCAAGTGAATGAAAGCAAAGGTGGATGGCATAGAGGCCAATTAATTTTATGACTGTCCACCTGTGTGTGTTTAATAATAATAATAATAACTAACGGTTTATTGAAAGAGCATGGCAACCGGAAGGCTGAAAATATACAGTTACATAATTGGTGAATGGGTCTCTTGATTTACAAATAATATACAAGTAACATAAGTGATACAAATATGATATATAATAACTAGGTGGGGAGAAGCTCAAACTACAGGCCATTTCAACATAGTGACAGTGCAAAAAGAGAGTGTGTGTGTTTGTGTTTGTCAGTAGTATATTGAGGAATAATAGACAACATACACACACACAAATGCTCCCATATTCTAAAAACAAACACACACATGCTCCCACACCTGCACAAAACAAACACAGGACCAAGAGACTCACCCTCTGTCTTTGCTTTGATCTATCCGGAGCATATTATACCACTGGTGCATGCTGGCCGGTGTGAGCCAGGAGGGCGGCAAGATGCGGTCTGAATACAGCATTTCTACATCAAGGTGGTGGTAGATGAGGTATATGAGACGCAACGCAGAGAATACCAGGGAATATTCTCTCCCTTCCTCCTCCTCCAGGAACCACCCAGTTTCTGCAGATCAATACATATACATAGTGATATCTGATCCATTTTAATACATATCTTGAAAAATATTAGAGAATACATTGGTTTTATTATATTATGCTTGAGGAAAAATAATGTTCATGAAGTATGTGACCCATTTCAAACTTAAATCAAGATTACTGTTGAAAGAAGTACATTGTTTTTATCATTACTTGTTAAACTGAGGAATAAAATACCTTCAGGGTTGTTAGTCAAGTATAGTAAGACCAGAGAGTTCTGGCTGTAACACTATTAACAGAAGAAAGAATAAGTCTATACTAATGTGTGTGTAAGTCTGGGCTGGATAATTAGGTATAAACAAGTATCAAAAGATTCAGTCCTGTTGTGTGAATGAATAATTTTTACTTAATCCGGCCAAAAACTTACAGGAAATTCTCATTTTAGCAATGGCTACTCCTCGACTTATGACATACTCGACCTACGACCGCCTCAGTCGTACCAAAATTTTGTCAAATTACGTATTTTCGAGTCCCAACGTTAGTGATTGTGCTGTGTACTGAAAAAATCTTCGTTAGTAATTCACTTTAAAATGGGTAGCAAGCGTAAAAGTGAGAGTTTTGTGGTGCTGAGAAGAAAAAGACACACCCACTTTAGATTTTCTATGTATTATTTAAGCATTTTCGACTTACGACCTGGATTTGGGTCCCTAACCCCGTCGTAAGTCGAGGAGCAGCTGTATTGATAAAATAATGATGGCCACTGTCCCTACAGCTAACATCCACTGATAATGGCCACCGTCCCTACAGTGTTGATGAACAGCATTTAAAGGTTAACCAATTCTCACGTGTTCTGTTCCTGAAGTATTTGTGGGCTTCCAAAAACGCTGCTTCGTGTGACCCATCCCACGTTGGGTGCAGCCGGAGGAAGACCCACGCCTACGAGGAAAATCCATTAAGACAGACAAAAAGACATGATCCTATCAAGACAACACAACAGACAGTATCATGTTTATGTCTCACTTGGTCGTACCTTCAGCATGACGTAGACGCTGAACTCAGTCTGCATGACGTACAGGTGTGGCGAGGACAGCAACTCGTATAACAAGTCAGCGGGGATGTGACGCAGTGTGGATGGATGTTCTGTAACCTGTGACATCGCGTGAATAGGGTAAAAAAAAAAAATTGAGAGTTGGCGATGGTTTTGAACAGTTGAAAGCCATAGTTTTGAAAAGAATGTAATATATATGTGTATTGAGATCGTTAAGCTACATATGACTGGCAAACACAAGTAAGCATCAAGACAGTGAATATCGTCAACACAAGACACATCTTAACTCCCCACCTGTGTGAGAAGGTTGTGAAGTAGCCACTGTTTACATGCCTTGTCGACCTCTACCACCCCGTACCTTCTTGAGGCCTCGTGGTACTGCAACACCGTCTGGAAGGATAAACAAAACAACGTGATTTTTCTACTCTGGGGTCGTGAAGTGTTAGAAAGGTTCAAGAGTCATATAGTAAGAAGAATCCTATTAAAGGTTTTGAAATATGAACTGAAGATAAGCACAGTAACTCAAGTACACAACACACACAGTCATTTATGGTATGTGTACAGTACTTTAATTATATATGTATTTGTAGTTCTTTAGTGCACTATGTTGAGATATTTATATTCATGATCAATACAACACTACTACTACAACTATAACTACTACTACTACTACAACTACTACTAATACACTAATAATAATAATATGTATACTGTATATTCAGTTAAATTGTCCTACAAGTTTACAATTGGTTTGGCATGTATATAATAATCATGCTATCATACCTGTGGATTGATGAGCGTTGTTACCATACCTGTAGATTAATGAGCATTGTTACCATACCTGTAGACAAATGAGCATTGTTACCATACCTGTAGACAAATGAGCATTGTTACCATACCTGTAGACTAATGAGCGCCCTACAATACCTACAATTTGATGACGGTGGCTAACGTACGTGTAGATTGATGGTCTCCAGCATGATACAGGTGCACTGGTCGATGAGAGGATCCATCTGTAAGAGGAGAGCTGTGGCCAGGAGAGGGATCACCTGAGCCGCCTCCATTTCGATGTCATCTTTGTAGAACTGTCCCAATGCCAGGTGTAAGGCTGTAACAGAGACCAAGGTCAAGATGGGGCCCTCCCCCTAACTTAGACTAACATACATTAACTAGTCTAAAGTCAGATGTGAGGCCCCTAACGTAGATTAACTTACAATAACTAATCTAAAGTCAGATGTGAGGCCCCTAACATAGATTAACTTACAATAACTAATCCAAAGTCAGATGTGAGGCCCCTAACATAGATTAACTTACAATAACTAATCTAAAGTCAGATGTGAGGCCCCTAACATAGATTAACTTACAATAACTAATCCAAAGTCAGATGTGAGGCCCCTAACATAGATTAACTTACAATAACTAATCTAAAGTCAGATGTGAGGCCCCTAACATAGATTAACATAAACTAACTAATCCAAAGTTAGATGTGAGGCCTTTAAAGAAGCACACATATATATATATTCTTGAGTGGTAGTGAGGATCCCCCCCCCCTTCCCCAAAGAAAAAGTTTAAAATCAACCAATTTAAATTTGTGAAACTATTTTTGGGTCTACACAAACATATGACTGGTAATGATAACACCCTCTGGCTAAAACTGGTCGAGAGGTCAAAACAATAACACAAGCTCCCACAAATATTAATACTTTCTGATAACACTGGACAGAACCGTGTATCGGCTACCAAGTGGTGTAAACATAATCTCTTCGCCGTACCACTGATGTTGATGTTGTCGTCGAGAATCTCAATGGTAATCTGGGATTGGTTCGTCTCTGTCCAGTTGCCAGAAAACATGCTCCTGAAGTATGGGCTCTGTGGATGGGATAAAAATCAGAATGAATCGCTTGCTATAAGTCATATGCTATTTTTTTCTGTTGTGGGCATTTAGACTCATATACAGTGAACTATACCCATATACAGTGAACCATACCCATATACAGTGAACCATACCCATTTACAGTGAACTATACCCATATACAGTGAACTATACCCATACAGCACCCCATACCCTAAACTAACCTGACAGAGGTAAACTTTATGCAGGTGCCATTCATTACCCATAGCTACAACACTGACGTCGGACGCTCGCCCTTCCTCAAACAGCGTCTTGTATATGTACTTGGACGTGGAGTTTAATTTACGCCTACGGAACATAAACGTCACAGTGGAAGTAAACAGAGAGAGATGTGGTAAATTAATAATAAATAGTTAATATACCATGAAGTTATAGGGGATAAGGATTAGATAGTGAAGATAATTTACGATGGTATATACTTTTTGCGTGTGTGGAGAAGAGATTCCAAGTCCATTGTTTCCCCATCGTCATTCTGTACCTCCTCCACCTTTCGCTTGCTGCCTCCACTGCCTATGACGTGAGACCCCATCCAGGTGGTGATTATGTTTCCCATCACGACCTCAAACTGTGACACCAGGGAGAGGAAACAAGGTGAATATTTAGTATACAGTGAATCCTCTATGTACCAGCCTACTTGGAGAGGAAAGTCCATTATATTGAGGGTTCGTTAGATGTGAAACCTCCATCTAATGAACTAAATAGAGATGAAAGTCCATTATATCGAGGGCTCGTCAGATGTAAGACCTCCATATAACGGATTATATGAAGAGAGGAGTCCGTTATAGGGAGGTTTCACCGTACATCTGATGCCCTATTTCTTTATATATTATGATTTTTACTTCTATGTTTATCTGGATCATTGAAGATTAGTCCTTGAGATTTAAGAATTATAAACTGTACCTTCGAATACCAAGATAGGAAAATGCTTCATCAACTGTACTAATCTCAAGTACTTACCAGTCTGGATTACTGTATACAGGCATGAAAACCTTACCTCCGGAAAGATCTAATATCCCTAGATAATGTTGGGTGCTGGACAACTCGTACCCATCAGAACATGTCAAGTCGTACCCAATTACAAGATAAATCGTACCCAATTTACTGTTCTCTTTGACTACGTCGATTCAATTTGGTTGAAATCTACAGTGTGGAATATAAAGAACCAGTCTGGCTACAAATGTACAGTACGCACAAACAATGATTGCGAAGGGTGGCATCAACGTCTTAACTCTGAACAGGAGGAGTGGACGTGAAAATATTCAATTGTGTGTTCTGCTGCCACACTTATTTATAGAGGCCAAACTGGTTAATATTCAGTTACAATTACTCTCTATCCTCCACTCAACACAAATGAATTATGGAAAAAAATATGAAGAGAAATCTATAACCACAGCTCAGTTCATGTATTCCTGGAGTATCTTTGTAAATATGTTTTATTTTAGATATTATAATTTCATTGTACCAGGTTGATTTTAATATATGAAGAGCAATGTGTGTTTTAAAAGTGTTTATTTGACCTTAAGAAATTAAGAGTAAACACGTCTGCTCTCTCTCTCTCTCTCTCTAATTAGGAAGAACGTGAATATTGGGTGACACAATCAAGTGGTTACATTACTCATACTGGTCTTGTTTCCGTGTGGTCATGACTTTTTAAACAAATCTATCCAGAGTATCATTAACATATAATAACATAACTAATTGTATATGCGTTGGCCAATATTCTCACTCTTCGTTCTTTTATTTCCTTATTACTACTGTATTTCATTCTTGACGTCGACATGTCAGAAGAAGAAATTCCTGACAATGTCAACCACTCTGTAGAACAAGTTCGTTATACCGGAAGAAGTACCAGAGGAGCCCCGAATTATATACTGTACTGTATACTAACTGATTTGTTAGCAAAAAGCTGAGGCTGGAAAATCAATCTGTTTTTATGCATGTCTATATTTTGTTGACTTATGACTATTTTAAATGTTTACATCGCCCAGTTTATAAATTGAAACTGCCAAATGTATTAGCCTGAAATCAGTAAATTGCAATAAAGTTATTCTAAACCACATAGTGTGAAGTATTTAATTGTAGTGCAATGTTTGTGTGACGGAATACCATACTTATGTAATGAGATGCAACCATTTTAAAGCCTCCATTACAGTTCCCTATTTCACTGCATATTCCTACGAGATTTACATAATCTTTTTTTGTAATCACAGATGAAGCTAAAATTTTATATATATCCTCCAAATTTTCTTAAATTGAATTCTATTTTTATTTCATTCAGGGGGCCCCTTGTCTGAGGGGGCCTGGGGCCTCTCCTTAAACCAGCCCTGAATAGCTCGTAATAAGCTATAATAACGCTATGACAGCAGCTACCTATGCATGGTATATATACTAATAGTTATGGATTATCTTTTGAACTGGGTGCAAGTAATCTTGGGTACGACTTATCTCGCGAGTTGGGTACGAGTTAGCGTGGGTAAGAGTAAACATTATATTAGTATTATTTTATCTTGGGTACGAGATCACCATAACCAGATAAAGTGCAACACAAAGATGATTTCTCAACTATGTCATCTCGATTATCCAAATAGACTGAGAGCCTTACAACTAACAACCCTTCAGACATGACACAACAGGGTGAATATAATTTAAATATTCAAAATATTTAAAAATATGGAAAATATGAACCCAGGTCACCTTCCCTAACCATGACCACCTCTAGTTCAGTGGTGGTCATTAGGTATACTGTATAGGCTAAGAGTAACGATCTCTGGCCTGGACCCTCACACCTCCTCCTAGTTATTGTCTCTCTCCCATTACCTTCATTAACTTACTTAAGATGAAGACTGTGCTAAAAGACGAGGAAACTGTGAACGAGGGAGGTATTATGTGACCAGACGAGGCCAGACTACATCAACCATCACACTCTTGATCAAATCTTTTGTTTACTAACACACAAGACTGAACTGAGCTGATGGTTCTTGTTCCAAATGATATCAACCCACAATCACAAACATCTATTTATATTTTTATCACCGTATTAATTGATTTACTTATTTATATTTACACTAATGATGTATGGAATAGCTTATTTGTGTGAGTTATTATATTTCCAATTTGATGACCTTTGAGATACGACTGATCATGCGTTGGGCAGTTCCAGATGTCTTTTACCTATAGGAAACTTGTAACTTAATTTGTCTCCTGACTGGAGTTAAATGGACGATCTAGTTAACGTTGAGTCTCAGTATATCTACCTAATTCTATCCTTAGGTAAAATGCTAAACTGCATCACTGTAATTATAAATAAAATGCTAATTACTATAATTATATTGCATTAATTACTGTAATATAGATACAACTAATAAAAAACTGTATTTAATTGTAATTTATGGTGACAATAATACATCACTACTGTAATTATGAACTGAACTGTATTTACCGATTACTGTACTGTCGTATAATACACTAAACACTATATAAAATGTATTACTGTATTATACCCAACAATCCGAATACAGCCTACTGTATTTCTTGAGTAATTTCTGCATTTTTATAAAACTCCACTGTGCTAATGTATATGAATTCAGTTGTAATTAATAATCCGTACTGTATTAATCACTGTAGATGAAACTGTATTACCGTATCACGTTCCAAGACCAGAATACAACTGACTGTAATTCTCACCTCGCCCTGTGTACTCACTAAAACGACTGTATCAATGCAATTACAGTATTATTCAGCTGTATTTACTCACCCTACTGTATTAGCCCCCTGTAGAAACTGTATTACTGTATCACGTCCCAAGACCAGAATACAACTGACTGTAATTCTCACCTCGCCTGTACCCAAATACCCAGAGTGAAATAAAACACAATTACCATAAACAGATAAATTACAACAACTTCCCATATATAAAAAAATAAAAAATAAAATAATTATATTTTTTCCGTGAGGTTGTAATTTCTAGTTGTTGTATTTTTTGTAATATATGTAGTGGAATAAAAATGGAAAATGTTGTATTTGGTGTGTGGTGGTTAATGGCATGTACCGACTTTCTCAGCCGCCAGGGAAAATGGAAGCGCTTTTATTGTCTCCTATGTCTCTTTTTCACCCTTCATGTTTTCTTCAGTGTTTGTTTGTTGTATGTTTGTGTATGTGTGTTTGGAGAGGATTTCACGAGAGGAAAAAACACTACAGGTATTTAAAACTACTTCACTCCTACGGGCGAATTATTACTACTACACGTACTATTACTTCTACTATTATGACTACAACAATTGCTACTACTACTATTAATACTACAACACCTACTATCACTTATACTATTACTACTACTTCTACTAGATGACTACGAGTATTATTAGTGCCACTGTTACAAACAATAATAACAACAACAACAACAACAACAACAACAACAACAACAACAACAACAACAATAATAAATAACAATAATAATAATAATAATAAATAATAATAATAATAATAATAAATAATAACAATAATAATAATAATAATAATAATAATAATAATAATATAACCCCAAGTCACCACACTTATAAGGTTTCTCGGCTCCCAGACATACACTTATAACCCGTGTAAGTGACTGGTGCTTTTACTTAATGATTCTAATACTTATAATGGTTATTTATGTGTATGGATGAATATGATTGATGATGATAATAACGACAATAATAATAATAATATTTGATGATGTATAATTTTGGGAATAATTGGGGTGATTGTATTACCCGCGTCCAGCCTCTCCGGATAACTCCTTCACTTAGCGTTGACATCCCTGGGGTTACCTCCTGTACCTTGGCGATATTTCAGTTTACCTCCTTATCTAAACACTGATGATGGCTCTATAAACACTATAACAATATGTGAATATATAACTCAGCCGTTACTATCGTTATTTACGGTAATTTAATGCGATAAACGTAGAGAATTGTAATGTAAGGGGGATCTTGTTCACAGCTGGTATCACTGTTGACTGTATGATATGGATGGAGTTATTGTTGTAATCTTTCTTATTTTTTCTTATCTTTACATTTTAATTGCATAGAGGGATTTAATACAAACGATAAAGGTGTAAATAGGGTTTATTATTAAAGGTTTAGTTGGTGTAGTTGCCTCAAGATGGCGCGCGTGCAGGTGTGACGTCACGTGGCGATCGGAAGTCACTGACACCGCGAGTGTTGTGAGAGGTAAGTGGTGAGAGGGTAGCCAGAAAACCCTTATGTGTGCCTTATTAACCAATATTCCGCCTCCAGGAGACATGCATTAGCCCTGGGATTAATATACCACCGGCCAGGGCCCTCTAACATCAACAACACGAGAGGTGAGTTCTGATTCCCTTGGGTGGGGCTGAACGGAACGGAATGGGACGGAAAGGCGGGTCGGAGAGGAAAGGAATTGGCCTACTAGGTTGTGTGGGGGGTGGGCTAGCGAACCGCTGTCTGTCGGCTGCACCAACACCTGTCAATGGGCTAGATTAGGGGAGATTATTTTACACGCGTTCACCTGAGGTTCACAAAATCAGGACCTAAAATTATGCGCTTCAGGTAAATTAAGAATCCCCGCAAAACATCTCATATTGGTGGAAATATTAAGTCAATCTGTGTTAGTTTTTATATGCGTATACATAAATACACATATACATATCAACGTCCTTCACACATATACATACACATCCCGGTTCTACCATATATACATGAGGTCTCTGGAAAGCATATATACATATATTCTAACATAGGATTTTTACACATTCATACACGGGGTTTTTTTAATACATACACATATTGGATTCATACACACATATGGTTCTTTCATACATACACAAATATACAGGAATTTTACACAAACAGACACATACAGGGTTCTTACATACACACACAGAGTTTTTACACATACGCACATATGGTTCTTTACACATACACACATGGTTCTTTACACATACACACATATGGTTCTTTACACATACACATGGTTCTTTACACATACACATGGTTCTTTACACATACACATATGGTTCTTCACACATACACACATATGTTTCTCACACACATACACACACTCACAGCATAAGAAATGCACATACAGTATGTGTATATTAAAATTTTGGGTGTGTAGGTTTTGTATTTTGTGTGTATCTAAGTTTGCGTGTGTTTGTATCTAAGTTGTGTGTATTTGTATCTAAGTTTGTGTGTATGTGTATCTAAGTTTTGTGTATTTGTGTGTATGTATCTAAGTTTGTGTGTATTTGTATCAAGTTTGTGTGTATGTGTATCTAAGTTGTGTGTATTTGTATCTAAGTTTGTGTGTATGTGTATCTAAGTTTGTGTGTATGTGTATCTAAGTTTGTGTGTATCTAAGTTTGTGTGTATTTGTATCTAAGTTTGTGTGTATGTGTATCTAAGTTTGTGTGTGTGTATTGTATCTAAGTTTGTGTGTATTTGTCCTAAGTTTGTGTATGTGTATTTGTGTGTATGTGTATCTAAGTTTGTGTGTATGTGTATCTAAGTTTGTGTGTATGTGTATCTAAGTTTGTGTGTATTTGTGTGTATGTGTATCTAAGTTTGTGTGTATGTTATTTAGTTTGTGTGTATGTGTATCTAAGTTTGTGTGTATTTGTGTATTTGTACCTAAGTTTGTGTGTATGTGTATTTAGTTTGTGTGTATGTGTATCTAAGTTTGTGTGTATGTGTATCTATTTGTGTGTATGTGTATCTAAGTTTGTGTGTATTGTATCAAGTTTGTGTGTATTTGTATCTAAGTTTGTGTATATGTGTATTTAAGTTTGTGTTTTTTGTGTGTGTATCTAGTTGTGTATGTGTATCTAAGTTTGTGTGTATTTGTATCTAATTTGTGTGTATGTGTATCTAAGTTTGTGTGTGTGTGTATCTAAGTTTGTGTGTATATGTGTATCTAAGTTTGTGTGTATTTGTATCTAAGTTTGTGTGTATGTGTATTTAGTTTGTGTGTATTTTGTGTATGTGTATCTAAGTTTGTGTGTATTTGTATCTAAGTTTGTGTGTATGTGTATCTAAGTTTGTGTGTATTTGTATCTAAGTTTGTGTGTATGTGTATCTAAGTTTGTGTGTATGTGTATCTAAGTTTGTGTGTATCTAAGTTTGTGTGTGTGTTGTATCTAAGTTTGTGTGTATGTGTATCTAAGTTTGTGTGTATTTGTGTGTATGTGTATCTAAGTTTGTGTGTATTTGTGTGTATGTGTATCTAAGTTTGTGTGTATTGTACCTAAGTTTGTGTGTATGTGTATTTAAGTTTGTGTGTATGTGTATCTAAGTTTGTGTGTATTGTATCTAAGTTTGTGTGTATGTGTATCTAAGTTTGTGTGTATTTGTGTGTATGTGTATCTAAGTTTGTGTTATGTGTATTTAAGTTTGTGTGTATGTGTATCTAAGTTTGTGTATTTGTACCTAAGTTTGTGTGTATGTGTATTTAAGTTTGTGTATGTGTATCTAAGTTTGTGTGTATGTGTATCTAAGTTTGTGTGTATGTGTATCTAAGTTTGTGTGTATGTGTATCTAAGTTTGTGTGTATTTGTATCTAAGTTTGTGTATATGTGTATTTAAGTTTGTGTGTATTTTGTGTGTGTATCTAAGTTTGTGTATGTGTATCTAAGTTTGTGTGTATTTGTATCTAAGTTGTGTATGTGTATCTAAGTTTGTGTGTATGTGTATCTAAGTTTGTGTGTATTTGTATCTAAGTTTGTGTGTATGTGTATTTAAGTTTGTGTGTATTTGTGTGTTTGTGTATCTAAGTTTGTGTATGTGTATCTAAGTTTGTGTGTATGTATATCTAAGTTTGTGTGTATGTGTATCTAAGTTTGTGTGTATTTATGTGTATGTGTATCTAAGTTTGTGTGTATTTATGTGTATGTGTATCTAAGTTTGTGTATGTGTATCTAAGTTTGTGTGTATGTATCTAAGTTTGTGTGTATT